TACTTTACCACGAGGGAGCAAATTAAATTGTCAATGCAGCTTTTCAAATCCCGATCGATCGACGTGCGGCGCGGCGAGCTCGCGTCGGCTGGCTCTGCTACGCTATTTCGAGAACCAACCCCTTCATTAACATTTAACTCGTTCGGCCAGCCTCGGGTTCGGCTCGATCTCCAGAGGGATACGGCAACTACCTTAAATATCAATCCTGCACACGTCGGTTATAGCGCGTCTAGCCTCGCTTCGATGTCGCTCGGGGGATGAATTATCAAAATTTCCGCAATAAGTTCCGCAGCCGGATGACCTGGGCGACAGTGTATCGTGACACGCGTAAGAAACGAGGGTGGGTCTCGCAACTCACGCACGACTCACGCTCACGTTTGTCGTCAAACTGTTTTATGTTTCATCTGCCGTCCATTTATGCGGCCATTACCTCGCCAGTGTTATATCCTGAATTATTGAGTTCAATTTTCCGTGGGTTGCTTCGGCCGATTGAATTTTTTATCGTGGCGCATTGAAAAACGGCTTTCGCCGGTTTTAATTGATTTATCTGCCTGTTTGTATTAAAAAAAACGGCAATTTGCGTTTTCGCAACGAACAATGTCGCGTCGCGCACTGCCTATTACAACAAATGCACGTCTATTATCATCCCGAGTATATATTTCAGTGGTGTTAGCAGGGCTTTCGTTAAAACGTTCGACGCGACGCATGTTCGACGAGGGTACTTTGATCAGGGATGGAAACAGACGCGCGCGGGATGTTTATGGTACAAAAGTAATAAGACAAACGAAGTTACGAGCACATTTGTAGTTTGTCGATACTTGATCGCCCGCGCATGCGAGCATTCCACGGAGATTGAATTATATCGGTACACGTCGCCTGACAACATTGACTATCGGGAAGGTAGCACCTCATTCTCCTTTTTTCAATGAAGCGACTTATCGGCCAGATAAATATTATTAGCCAATAAGCACTCGCTCGCACTCGATACCTCAATACCTCATCGGTGTACAATGTAAAATGCTTCCGTTGCTCGATCTCGAGAAAATCCTAACCGAAAGAGCGTCTTGTTTTAGTAACAAAAATAGAAGAGTGTTCATTATTCTGATGTAAAAAAAAAAAATACTTTAGAGACAATGCCCGTAATTTCGAAAATGTCATGCTATTTTCGCAGTCTCATTGTTTCGCGGCACAAAAGTGATTCTATAATTCGCCGCAAAATAAAAATACGATGTTACGTCTCATTATTCAGAAATTGGGGTCCGGTCTATGTAAGCGCGAACCCGTTCATGTTACATTTCATCAGAGAGAAAAAGAGAGAGAGAGAGAGAGAGAGGAGGGGGAGGGAAAGAGCGGAGTTACATAAATAAAATACCAGGAATGAAAAATAAAACGGAGGCGAGTGACCCACATGACTGTCGCGTATACGTGTAAACACGGCGCGGCGCGCCGGCATGGCACTCACGCGAAAGGGAACGACTTATTCACTGAAAGCCTCCGCCCAACGGCAGTTGGGATGTGTGCCACCACTCCCCCCTCCCCCGTTGGAGAAATCCTTGTTTTTTTTATTCTTTACTTCTACCCCTCTCTGCGCCCTCCGCTCCCACCATTCGCCAGCAGCGGTGCCTCGCGATTCGGCGTCGTCCCGTCCGCCGCGCTAAGAAAAGGGCGAGAAAATAGGTCCCGTATTCCTCCGGAGTGCCATTCAGCGCTGTAATTTATTCCAGTTTCATGAATCCCCTTTTGCGAACCCCTCCCCGTCGCGACCCCGCGTCCCCCATCGTCCTTTTCACTTCTGCCGTTCTTTATCAGGGGCTGCTCCGCGCCCGTTAATCCGAATTACCTCCCTTTCTCGGCTTTTCTCTCTGCGCCGTCTATACCAACCGCGCCCTCCCCCGGCCCCCGTCGTCCTTCTCTCCCTCCCGCCCGTCGCGAATGCTGCCCCGCGCGTGCTCTCTAATTTATCTTGTCAAGCTTTCATTTCGTCCATTACGGACTTCTTTCAGGCAGCGAGTACTTGTTGCGCAGGTACGATTGATATTATGAATTCCGCGTTACTCTCTCTAAAAGCATGCCACCGAGGAGAAGTAGGCGCGCGAGGAACCCTCGGCGCGAAATATCGTTTCTCGTCGGGAAGTCAGCGACAGGAGTCAGCGAGTGAAATCCGCGTCCGATCTCTTTAGGCCACTTAGCGCGCGCGAGCGTGTAAATCTAAATCGATATTCCGGCACCAGCCGGTATACAGCGGGCGCGCAATAACTCTCGGCTTCGCAATATCGAGCATGCCGCGCCACGCCGCGTCGCGCGTCGGCACGCTCTACGCGCTACCACCCGGGGAGAATAATATTGAAATCACGGGGTTGCACGTCGTCGTCATCGCCGTCGGGGTCGTCGCCGTCGGTAGTCGGTAGTCGTCGCCGCCGCAAGTAGGTCAGCGGCTCGAAATAGAAACCATCAACTGGGGCAGTCAATGCCCAACGTAAGACACCACTCGTCGCGGCACGTCCGCGACTTTTCCGCGCCGACGTACACACGTTCTCTCTTTTTTTTTCTTTTTTTTTCTTTTTCATGTTTATTTCCTCTTTCTCTTGCCATACGCTATCGGGATACCATCACGTTGCCTCCACGTGCCAAACGCAGCGATCTATAACGTCCTCCAAAGCGATTCTCCGCTGCACGAACGTCCGTCCGGTGACCGCGGGATTTATGCAGGACCGAGACTTATACGATTCTGTCGACCGCCATTCCACGCCCGGGCGATTTACGTGCCTCGCAAACCGCATTTAGCGTGATCGTCGTTATCGTAGAAGCCCTTTGCGAATCGATCGCGAGACGCGATCTAATCAATTTACGCCGCTGGAACGTCAGTGAGCGACGGTAATATTTCTCCGCGTTGTTCCCTTCTCCAGAAATTTTATCTCCGTAACTTCGCCGACGAATAATAATTATGAATCGAGCTCAGGATTATCGAATTACGGCTCTTGTATGTTGCGTTACGATCGTCGCAGTTTTGTCGTTAATCATCGCACGAAAAAAAAATACGTGAATATGAGGCACAGTTCGCGGCACGCGATTGAAGATTTAATTAAATCCGCGTTGCTACCTTTCCGCATTAAATACCACGCGCGTGTAAATATGGGGGAGGAGGAGGAGGAGGAGGAGGGTGGGTGACTTTATTTCGCTGGATCTCCCGCGCATCCCGTTGTCCGGGTTAAATGTCTTGAAGCGAATGCATTAATACGAGCGATAACGCAGCGCGCTTTAATGCAGGCGTTTACATGGGCCGTTTTAGCCCCGCAGGCTCGCTCAAATATACGGTGCTTACCAGCAGTTCTAGCATCCGGCTTAACAGGACGTAATTTTCCGCAACGGCGACGTAATGAGGCGTGTATGAAACGACACTAACCCCGTACGCTCATCATATCGTTCGTATATTCTCTTTATGATGAGGTGACATCGCTAAACTCGTACCGCTAAAAATAAACGATAATGCCTCGGTCCCCTCGTAACCTAAATTGTGATTAGGGCTCGAAGGAAGTATTTAGAATCGCGCTTGCAACTGACACGCGCCTACGACGACGTTGATGCCAGTAAAATTTTCATTTTCGTTGAAGAGTTACAAGTATATTGTTAAGTAATTTATCTGCATGGCTAGAGTCTTTGCAAAATTTTTAGACAAAACAGTATATCACGCTTTATTTCTGTGCACTAATTTCTTTATGTATTTCGAAACATGTAACACACCTTGCGTATACTCATCCCTTGAAGTGCCGATGATCACTAATACATTTAAATATGAATAATCCAAGGATATATTATACTTCACATACATACGTCTAACATTTGCTTCTATACTTATATATATTTATAACTTCCAACGATTGTTGGACGCTCATTGTATCTTAATTAATGTAATTTGTAATGTACTTAATTGTGATCTCTTTTGAAAATTAAAAGCACGAATTGCACTATCTGTCCTATTTTGTATCGCACCTCGAGTGCGCTCATCACTCGCAAAAGCTACCAAACAATTACTCCTGCACATTCTCTCGCACCCTTTCTGCTAAGTATCCTTCAGAAGCACTGCGAATCTCGATTCTCGCTATATGACGTAAATATAATGTCGCGAAAACTTTCAATTAACGATCCCGAAACATCTCCTCAAGTTGAACTTCGACACTTCGAATTTCTCATTGTCTCATTTTTCTGCATTTTCCATTTCTATATACGCAACGCGCGAATTCCATTGACAAAGTGCACGAGTATCTTGGGCGATGTAATGCATTCACATCCGGCATGTATCGAAAGTAGATCGCAGAATCCATTCAATCTTATACGACGTCATCCATATACGCGATCACATCGAGACGTGTCTTTTAAAGCGCGCGGATCCGTGGAGACGTCGTGATCTCGCCTGTTGTTCTCATTTCACGCCTTGCCACCCTCGCGCGAGGAGCAAGCGACCCCCGGACATAACGCGCGAGCGTAACGCCCGTGGGTCGTTTCACTCGTCAGACATGCTGCATCCCTTGTCTTCATCATTTATCATCTCATGATCCACGGGCCGGTGCGAGTGAGTAACGAGGTTTGATCGCGCGAGTAGAAGGAAGGCCCCTGAATAATGGAGCGTGTCCCAACCCGCCCCCGTTAAGCGGTATTAAAACTTCATTCTCGGTCACCTTGCAAAAGTGATGAAATCTTTCGAAAAGGCTTCGCGGATCCCTCCGGAGATAAAAGTTAAATTTTACAACGTATAACGTGGACGTTTTCTTCTCGGTCGCGCATCCCGCGACTGAGAGATAAATTATTCGAGCAAATTGTTCGATAAGAGAGTTATTGAATTTGCTGTTGATGAACTTCTTTCGCGTTTTATCGAAGCTCGAATCGCGTGAATGATGCGCGCGAAATTTGAAATGAAATCAGACGAATGCTCGCACCGGCTTTATACGCGTTCATTACGATCCCTCGTTTATGTTGAGTGTTGGTGTTGGTGCAAGGGGCAGGAGACACCGATATACATATGGTACGAGTCGTATCCGACCCACAGTGGCGAAGGATACGAGGGTCGTGTCTCGAGGGTGAGCGAGAATTCGCCGTACGGCCAGGCTAGCCTCAATCTGACGAACATCCGCGAGAGCGATCAAGGATGGTACAAGTGCAAGGTCGTCTTCCTCAACAGGTCGCCCAACAGTCACAAGAACGGTACCTGGTTTCATCTAGATGTCCACGGTAAGTAATCCCACGTTGTTTCTATATCATCTAATTCTCACGTGTTTTTCTTGTCGGGGCCGATGCGAATGCAACTCGCGACAGCCGCGAGTATCTTTACGATTTCGGGATTAAAATGAAGCGAGCAATCTCTCTCTTCCCGTTAGACGACACATTTGAGTTTGCATCTCGCTTGCGAGACGAACGGCGGGAAGTACAAATGGAAAGTTACTTTCGGGTTATACGGAACTTGATGAAAAAGGAACTTGATATTCACGTAAAGTTGTCGGCTATAGTAATAAAAGTTATATCCGCTATGTGCTAAACGCGCTCTTACCCGAAGCTTTTATGTCCAGCTTATATAACATGAAATTACGTTATTTCTGCTTCGAATAGCCTCGTTAATATCACTTTGAACTTAAGAAGATTTTACGACTTTGGCTAATGCAGTTTTATAACACTTGCTGGAAGTTAACCGCGTAAGTTAAGGCCGCGTTTGAATAATTCGCCGAATGTGCAAATTTTCACAATTTGTCGGAAATGAGTCGCACGTAATATACGAAAAATATATCTTTATACTGTAACTTGACGATATATGGTATTATATTACGCTTAGCAATATTTTGCTAAGACTGCTAACATTTTTAACGAAATAATGCGAGTTACATATGTTTCCTTGTGTTTTACTTATTATTAATGTATTGTCTCTCGAGCATTAAATTCTCAAAATTTACTCGTATTATACTCAGGTAAGAACGCGTGCGTATGTTAACGTTTGATAATGGAAACTGATCTTGTCGAGGAGATATGCACCGAGATCGCAGGAAAGAAACACGTTCGCGAATTGCTGGGATACACGCGAAATTCCGTAATATCCTCCTTCTGCGCTTGGTTAAACACATCGGCGAGTGTAGTATACGAAAATATTCCCTTTTCCGTCGCGCCTTTTCTGTTCCTCCTCATACCGGCCGCGCCTCGAGCTTACCCCGTCGACGTGACTTCCTGTCAGGGAAAGAAAAGCACGCGGATCATAAAAGGCGCTTCAGAAAGACGCCGCTGCCGCCGCTGGTTCTCCGATGTGCGGCTCAATGCGAATTGTACATTCAGCATTCAGCAAACACCGCGCAACCACGCCCCGTCGTCGTCGTGCTCCCGTTCCCCGACGTTCCCCGAAGTTCGCGCGCATCGTGAAAGAAGTTATGTTTCTTGCTTGCTCAGCGCGCAGTTCGAACTTACGTCTTCTTCCGGAGTTGTTCGCCGTGTTGCCCTTCATCGCTTCGACGAAATTTTCCGAGAAACGCGTCCCTCTGCTTACGGCAGAGTAAAATGGAAAGGAGGATCGCAAAAAGATCGTGTTACTAGACGGGAAATGGGACGGAGGGAGAGGAGGAAAAAAAAAGAGAAAGAAGAAAAGCGATAAAAGAAAAGGGGGAGAAACTTATTGCCGCGTTTTGCTCGGCTATAAACGACGGCCAAAGAGTCGGAGGAAAGAGAAACATTTAGATGGCTTAGGGGGATGTGTCGCGTTGTTCTCTTTTTTCCTCCCTCGTCACACCTCATCCACCCCCGGTTCCCCGTCAGTCCGCTCCGCTTTTATTCCCAATTTCTTCGTCGTTCTCCGTCAAGCTCTCGGTCACACTCAACAACAATAACAACAACAACAACGGGCGACGACGAGAGTGACAACGACGTCGACAAAGACGGCGACGGAGACGGCGACGTTGACGACGATAGACCTCGCAAACGGACAGCATCAAAGGGAAAAATACTCGGGGGCACCCGGAAAGCGCTCAAGATCCCTTTGTACTTTGCAGCCGACTCCATTCGGTCGCTTGCTCGCGTTAGAGTCATAAACCGTCGCATCCCGTCGCGTCACTTTACCTTTTTCTTCTCTTCCGCTTCTTCCATCTTCGCCGCTGTATCTTCCAAAGCATCGCTCTCGAAATTAAAATTCCTCGTCTTCGAATAACGACGAAGTCAAGCAGACGGCGCGCATAGCAGCAGACAATATCCCGGAAAAACGGAAAACACAGAAAGAGAGAGAGAGAGAGAGAGCCGCCCCGAATAGCAACAATTCGTAAGAAAGTCTACGCTACGTGAAGCTTTTGCAGAAATATTTACCCGAGCCCTTTTCCGATTCCGCTGGATTTCTTGCGCGCGCGTCTACGTCGATTAAAATTTTTCCAACGAAACGATTCTGTCTCGCGGAAGGAACGCGCGGTATATACGAAGGGAATACCGCTCGGAGGTTTTCTTAACCATCGCCGTGGAAAATTTGCATTATTTCAATCACTCGTTTTTCCCTCGTTTTCCCTTCTCGACCGCTCTTCTTTCCCTCGCTCGAAATTGTCGATCTTGCGCCGTACACCACCCTAAGACGAGAGAGAAACTATTCTTCGCGTCACCGTTCGGTCGCGAGCGATGGGCAGCGGCGAACCATTGTAATTTCTCCGGCATGAAAAGAGGGCGGGAACGATAAAAACGCGACCGGAACTTCTCGAGGAACATTTTCTAAACGTCCACCGTCCTCTCCTCGGAGACTTGATTGTTCTTCTAACGTCATTTACCCGCGGCCATTTTCTGTCATGGAAGTGCCAAGCGTCGTCGCCTCACTTACAAAAAGATAAACCGCTTACATTTTTTGCGAGGCATCTTCGCTCTCCTTCGCGAGAGCAACGTTACTGGGTCGTGAAAATAATCGGTGACGAAGGGGATGGATTTTGTTGAAGTCAAATATATAGAGATCGGTCGGTCCGCGTCGCGCTCTCTAGAGTTAACATTGTAGTCGTAACATAGCGATAAGATATAGTTGTATTGAATCGTATATCTAATCTTGAAACTCGCCTCTATTGTTCACAGCGCCACCCAGATTCAGCATAACGCCGGATGATATGATATACGTGAATCTGGGCGATGCGATAATACTCAACTGCCAGGCTGAGGGTACTCCGACGCCAGAGATCCTTTGGTACAAGGACGCGAATCCGGTCGAGCCCAACGGTCGGGACGTTGGGATATTCAACGACGGCACCGAGCTCAGGCTCTCGACGATCAAGAACGAGGACATCGGCGATTACACCTGCATCGCCAGGAACGGGGAGGGCCAGATCAGCCACACCGCGCGCGTCATCATCGCTGGTGAGCCGGCTTTGATAAGAACGTCATGGAACGTCCTAGTCGCGCGCGGAACCGCAATTTCGTCGCGAAGTTGAGCGATAAATTATCCCGTTTGCCCGCGCGGGAGCAGCGAAAGACACGATTACGTTCGACAGCAACCGAGCCTGATCGAGTGTGAGAGATAAAACTTTTTTAATTTAAGTCCTACTGTCATTCAGAAATATATTTGCTAGCGAAGATGTGGAGATAGAGCGCCGGGGATGGATATCGCGCGCACGGGATTATAACAATTACCGTGCCTTTAAGTCGTTTTAAATTTATGACAACGATGTAAAGTGATAAATGAATTTGCGCGATTATATATATATATATATACGTGTGCACTTTGATAATAACCATTTTCTCTTCATGATTTTTAATTTCTTAAAAAAATATTCCCGTCAGAAGTCACGTATACACTCGACGTATTCGCGTTTAAAAGATTTTTAATTCCTAAAAAGTCCCTCTCTCAAAATTCCGGACGTGATTTTATCAACGCCAGTCACGAGCGGCGTCCATTCCGCGGCTTTCCCCGTGGCGAATAACAACTGCTTTTTTCCGTCGGCGCGGCCCCCCGGTAATATCTCGCGGGAAACATTTGTGCGCGCGCTGTTAGGTATTACTGTCTGACAGGAGCGCGCGGTCGCTTAATCTACTTGGTACGGCGGCTGCGACGCAAAAAACCGTCATAGCACAACTTTCGTTTTAGCGTCTCGTGTTAAACGAGCGAACGATACCGCGGTGTCGCGCGGCGCGTGACGATTGGAATAATTAAACGACTGGACTCCGGCCGCTGGCGTTTATTACTTGTCCCCCGGAGTTGACGGGGAAACGTGAAACGTCCGTTCCGCGATTGATCCCTAGAAATATCTTAATCAATCACCTGTCCGTCACGATCGCCGGATTTTATCGCTACACAAATGTTCATCGGCTCGGAATCTCGGAAAGATAGGCCCACGTCTGTGGACTGTCAAGCCTATATTTTAAATACTTGTTTTGTTCTGGCAATTAAATGCCTATTTTTCGTATAGCTATAAGTTAGATACGTAATTAAAATATAATTAAGCAATATTTCATAAAAGTTCCGCCTCTACCTGGCGAAGGAGGAGAGAGGGATGGGACTCGGGAGCGCCTCGATACATAACGCCAGTAAACTAATTAAAGAAGAAGATACTTTGTACCGAAGCTAATAAGAAGGCGAGTCTTTGTAGCTTTTTTTCGTCGAACATAAATATAAAGTCGATTGATTAGTTTGCCGACATCGAGACGCCACGGCGCACTTTTTTTCGGAAACTAATTTAATATGAATCGCGCGATATATATATATATATATATGTACATATATATGTATATAGTAAGCCCGCTTTAATACACTTCCGAAAATTGCCTCGACATGCCAGCGCGATTAATTATCCGCGATCAGCACCCGAAGAGAATAATGCAAAATACGGCTGCCTGCCAGGCCGATAATTAATAAACAGCAAACTGCCGTAGTAATTATCGAACGCGCCGTTATCAGAAACAGATATCCCTCGGTAATCAGCGATCAGCTGAACACCGGTAATGCAATTCCAATAACCTGCATGCCAGAAAATATCTTAAAGCGGGCGCGGTTAGTTCCGCCAGTTTTGTTGTTTATCGCTCCGCGTGTAAGCCGCTCTCTTTCTCTTTTTCTCTTTCTCTCTCTCTCCCTCTTTGATTTTGCCCGATGCGCAATCGGAAACGAATTCTCACGGGCAGGTGAACCCCAGTCGGCCCAGTCCATCGGCGTCTTCACGATACATTCGATAAATTCGGCCGTACTCCACGCGAGGGGTTTCATACGGAATAACAAACGGCCCTCTCTCACGAGCGATTTCGCAAAAGTTCTCGCAGTCGTCCTCCCGCGCGAGATCCGTCGAGATCTGAAATATCATGGCCGGGCACCGCGCGAGTCCAGTGTCATCCTTGATTTTGAAGCATCGTCGAAACGCTCGTAAAGCTGACTGATGCAGTCTGCGCGACTCCGAACGCGGCGCGCTCGTGACTCGCATTAATCGCGACACCGCTTCGACGTCAAGCGTTTAAAAATAAATCGTCGCTTCCAACAAGCTAATCCGCACGAAACGGAACAATTAAAGGTTTACGCGCACGTCTTATTATCTCCGGTTTAATTAACTCGATCCCTCCGTCCTTTGCATTTTGCGAGTGCCTCTCACGCCACTTTCTTAATGTCCGTTATGAAAAGGGTTTCATCAAGAGGGCTTTCACCGCGTGACGTAATTTAATCGAAAAGAATACAGAATAATCTCGGCTACTAGGTCTTTATCCCGTAACGCCCGTTTAATAATCTCGCGAACGATAATGAGATTTATCCAAGGGAACGCGCCCGATGCCGCGTAGTTTGGATTTCCGTTCGTACAACGAAGGGTCCGTAACATCGCGAATCCATAATAATTGATGATTTCTCAGATGACGCGGATAATCGTGTGCACGGACAGGTGTTTGCCATTCCAGGTCATGGCTTCGCGATCAAAACCCGGGAAAAGATAAAACATAAAAGAAGTCGCAATCTCGTCCGCGTGTGATCGCGCAACCGTTTCAGCGTCCGTTTCTCCCTCCGGGGAAACGGAAATGTTTTCCCGTGATCGAAGGCGAAGGCGGGAATGCCAGTGCATCCATAAAGCGCAGACACGGCATCTGTGGAGGGCGTATAGCGCAGCGTCTCTCTTTCCCCGTAAATTTTACGAGCCGATATACATTTACTCATATCGATACGTTCAGCTCGCCGCGATAAAATTCGCGTTAGGCAAAGTGGTTACAGCGAGCTTCCGGGCGTCGCTCGTTTCGCCGGCCAATTAAGGCTATTCCCGCACCAGGGGTTTCCGTACCGGGAAAGGGAGAGAAGAGAAAGAGAGAGAGAGAGAAAGAGGGGGAGGGGGTTAAAAGGCGATTTGTCTTGTTTTTCCGGAGCCAACAGCCACTTTTCGCCTCCAAACCGCTTTCTTGTTCCATTTCGCTTTCCCTCCATCCCTTTTTTCCAGCGCCGCGTCGCCCGGTTTTTGCCCCCGCAACCACTGCAAATTTGTAAGCCGCGCCAGCGGCAAGCCACCGCCGCTAGGACATCCGTCTTCATCATCGTATTGTCTTACCGTCTCGCACGCCGCCTCTTGTTTTTGCACCCGTTCACGGGCTCGGCCGCGAGATGGTTATTTAATGGATTGAGAAATGGCGCGAATGTCGCTGGCTCGAAACGACGACGGCAAGAGATCGTAAAATTCGTTCACGCGCGGGGAATAAAATTAGACGTACGCTGCCAGAAACCGTCGCAGCTTACCGCCGCTAAAGGATATGCGATATGAGAACAAACTGTACGTTAGAATTGCTCTTATACATTTTATCTCTCGTTCGTTTCGGCGCGTATTTGTTTTAGAATTCGCTGTATTCGATGGAAATAACAGATTTATATATAAGGCTGGAGAAATGTACAAAATTTCTGCACGCAGACGAGAATATAAAAAATCGCAATTTATCTTTTCCGCAAGAAGATGAGACATGCACGTGTATTTCGCATGATGCAAACATATAATGGCGCATTTCGCCAAGTTAAACGAAGTAGTGCATTTAAAGGGGACGAGAGTACGCCGGAAGGTAAACATTACAAAAATAAATCATTCTAAAATTTATTCTGCAACTCGACTGCTGCTCCATTTGCTGAACTACTCTTCGCGCTGGGTGCCCTTCGCGTTTCTCGTGGTACCACGTATTTGCAATGTGTAGAGCAGAGCGTGATGTAGCGCGACGCTGCACCATCATAGCTGTGTACTTGGCATAAGAGTCGCCACTCGCCCCCCCTCTCTCTCTCTCTCTCTCTCCCCCCTCTGAATTTCATTGCTCCAGTTTGTCAAGATTTTCGTCTAGTTGGCAAACGCGCGCGCTGGAATTTGTCACCGTGACACTTCTCGCATCGGGAATACAACGGAGCCGCACGTATAAACGCAACGTTGGTTGATGATACAGCAGCACGGCGTGACAGTAGTTTAATAAACACTTTGTGAAAATATTTTCGTAATCTCTCGCGATCAGGCTCGCGTTATTTTCGCGAAAGGATAAAAGAAGGGAGGAACACCGGGAGTGACGCGTTCAAAGTCCTCCCCCCCCCGTAAATATCGACCGTACATCGGTGGGAATTGCTGCTCCCAAGTTGGTAAAAACAACGTCGTTAACGATCGCGCGTAATGTGCACCGAGCGTGCAACTTTATGGCAACCGCACGCTGATTCTACGGGCAACTCGGAATTCCATTGCCCTCATTTGCCCCCGAACTTTGCGAACTTTCTCCATCTCCATCCCCTTCGTAAAATATCCTTCTAAGCTCTTGCGCGCCCGCATGACGTAACATATATCATCGGTCGCGCGCGAATAATTAAAATGTATTCTGTTGATCGCGCGCGAGGAACGAAGCGCCGTTCCCGCGAAGCTGCGAACGATCGGACAATGGGAAGAGAAGAGAGCTCTCGGGATACTTGAACATCGTTAGCGGGTGGGCGGGGAGGGGGACGAGGAGAACGCGTCCTCCCCAATATATGTACATCCAAATATACATGATAATTTCGAGAGTAAATTAATATTTACATGACCAACCAGAAAACCCTAACAAGTTAAACCTTAAACTGTACTCCTTTATTTTTTATTTAATTTTATTTATTTATATTTTATTTATTTATATTTATTTATTTATTTATTTATATTTTTTTTAGTTCCCAAAGCCTCCTTCAAACGGCGCCTGTGGACGCGAAGCGGTACGTTAATATAAAAAAAAATTTGACACAACGGATACATCCGATTTGATTGGTATTGGCTATTAAGGTAAACCCTTCTCTGCGCGCGTGCCCCGGACATAGACGTAGCGAACGTGGAGGATTGCGAGGAAATACATTTCTCTTCCTTTTTTCCCCCTTCCCTCCCCGGGCAACAAGTTCTCATTCCGCGCTTCGTGCGTTTATCAAGATCGTAGATTCAAATTTATTCCTGTCGCGCCGCTGCGGCATGCACCGCGCTGCCTGGCGCGCATTGTGGCGCGCGTCTCTTTGGAGGTGCAACTGGATGCAATATATTGAGACATCGGGCGCGGGAGCTTTAGAATATCGTTGCCCTCGTTTCTGCGGATTTTCGTCTGCGCGCGGAGCGCGATATTTCTTGCGGAATTCCTCCGGCCCTTCCTTGGCCGAGACACGCATTTACTTCCGCTCTCGCCAGCCGTATTATATTATCCCGTTCGGAATTTCCGCCGGGCATTTGCGTCGTTCCGCCAAAAAGCTACGCCGCAACCTCGAATTTGATTATATCGATACGCGAGGACGACAAACACCGCAACAATCTGCCAAATGTTTAATTGTTCAAACGTACGTCAATATATTTGCAGCATCGTATAGCACCAGACGTATTGGCGTGGCGTTCGTTTACGTGTATAAATTTACACGTTGTTTGCGCGACACCTATACCCTGTTTACCTTGCCAACTAGCAATCTCTCGAATTCGAGCGTGCGTATATGGATTTTGAGTGTCACACGTCCGAAATTAAAATGTAAAAGCAGAAATGCGATAGAGATTGCGAACGGACGACGGCATTCATTATCCGAACCATATAATTCACAATCGTAGAGTTTGATGTATAAATATTGAATCGCAAACAAACTTTTTTCTCTCTCTCTTGTACGGCAACCTGCAGCGCGTATGCAAAATCTCGTGCGACGCAATAAAAATAAAGAGCTCCCTGCTCGGGATTTCGTATAGAGTTCGGATTTTATTATCGTCAAGCTCTTCCCTCAGCAGACCTATCAACGGCTTTCAATGAACCCCCGGTGTCGCTAATTCCTCGACAATTTCGCGTACGCTCGCTCGTCGCGATCTAAAGGCCTCTTTTTCCCCACCCGTTGTCTGGCAACGTGGAGATGAAGGCTCCCGTAATCCCGACGAATGACGATAGATCGGATTGCGGAAAATGCCGCGGAATCGCGGCGAGGATGGAACTCGGTCTTTTGTGGCGGCGAGAAATCGATTTTCCGCTATAATACGGCGAGATATTCGCTTTTCTGAGGCGAAGCCGCAAGTTTTGAAATTCTTCGGGCGTGAATACACGGAGAGAGACGGGCTGTGGGCTGTGGGCATGGACGACGTTGGATATCGATGAAGATATAATGCACCCTGTTGAACGTCTCTTCCTCGTAGAGTCGGAGGCGTAAAAATCGCGGAGGCGAAAGGCAAATTCGTGGCTACACGCGTTCAACCGATGCTCTTCGCCCATTCTTATTCGTCACGGCTTTTTTTATTTTTTTATTGAGAGACATTATCGAAAATCGATGGAGACGCTACAGCGCTCTCCGGTTTCTCTCGTTGCCTGACGCCGAGTCAGATGCACCGCATGCTGTTGTCTCATCCGGGATATCTTTGACAGCGAGACAACCGATATCAGCGGTCAATCGCCACCGCAGATTCTATAGATGCGACGGATACCACTGCGGGAATACACGCGGTCGCTTTTTGGTTTCGGTGACCGTAATCGATATCTCTCGCCTCTCTTTGGCCTATCTTCTTCGCTCCGTAGTCGAGGCTACGCAATAAGAATCGTACGTTTGATTGATTTCACAGGTGGAGCCGTTATTATGGTGCCGCCGACGAATCAAACGAAGCTGGAAGGCGAGAAGGTGCAATTCTCCTGCGAGGCAAAGGCGCTTCCGGGTAACGTGACGGTGCGCTGGTTTCGCGAAGGCGCCCCGGTCACGGAGGTCTCGGCCCTGGATACCAGAGTGTCCATCAAGATGGACGGTAGCCTGGTTATCAATCCCGTCAGCGCCGATGACTCCGGTCAATACCTGTGCGAGGTCACTAATGGCATCGGCGATCCTCAGACTGCTAGCGCCTATCTGAACGTCGAGTGTAAGACCTGTTTAAATTAGTAAATCGAATTAGTAATAATTCTAATTTGATAGTTTCGCATTAGAAAATCAAACGGAATTAAAATTCGAAAAATGTCTCAAATAGACCTAAACGTCCCAAACACTAAAGACCGAGCTTAACGGTGTGCTTAAAACGCGAAGCTGAGCTAAGCTCCAAATGCAAAGCTTAATGCGATTAACGTCCGAAGGATTAATGCCATCCTGCATTTCGCACATTTCAGATCCGGCGAAGGTCACGTTCACCCCCACTGTTCAGTACCTGCCGTTCCGTCTGGCCGGTGTGGTCCAGTGTTACATAAAAGCCAACCCGCCCCTGCAATACGTGACCTGGACCAAGGATAAACGCCTACTCGAGCCTTATCAGACGAAGGACATCGTTATCATGAACAACGGCTCCCTGCTCTTTACACGGGTCAATGAGAATCACCAAGGCAGATATACCTGCACGCCTTATAACGCCCAGGGCACGCAGGGCAGCTCGGGTCCGATGGAGGTCCTCGTGCGGAACCCACCTGTCTTCACCCTCGAGCCGGAACCAGTGTACACGAAGAAGGTCGGCGAGACGGTCGAGATGCACTGCGACGCTCAAGAAGCCGACGGAACGCAGAGGCCAACAATACAATGGCATCGGGTACTGTTTTAGACAGAAAAGATCCTTGTTTAGTTTTCTAAGCAAAATTCTCGTTATTTAACTTTTTATCACTTTTAAATACACTTTTTCTAAACTACTGTTTGCAATAATTTTGATGGTAAAATGCGAATTTTTATTATTTTACCATCAGAATTACTTTTCCCTACTATTTATAATTTTATAACAATTGCAATTGTTTTCTTCTAAAGCTATCTTTAATAACAAAAGTTAAAAGATTATCTGATTAAAAAAAAAACATCTTTTGGACATTTGTGTTGTCTAAATAATTGATTTATATTTAACGTTAGAACTATCAAAACAGTCCAAATTTGTAATTTTGTAATTTTTTATCAATTTAAAACGGTGTATTTTCTGCGATTTTCTATGACTTTTGTTGCGCTAAGTATGTAAATGATTAAATTGATCAATTTATACTTTCTCCCTTGATCTCTTTCAGCATACTTAAATAGAAATAGATACACATCAATCGTCGATAGTTCTAGCGTTAAGAAATATTTTTGAGGAACTGTCTCGTTGCACAATTTTGCAAAACGTTTTTAAAATTATCTCAGAGGGATGGCGGACCTATCCAACGCAGTCGCGCGAAGACCGTCGGGGGCAATTTAACCATAGAGAGCCTTCGACGGGCGGATTTCGGATTTTATCAGTGCGTCGCCTTCAACGAAGTCGCCACCATCTCATCCTCGACGCAATTGATCGTCGAGGGTACGCAACCCCATGCACCTTACAACGTGTCGGGCACTGCCACACAATTCGCGGTAACGCTAATTTGGTTACCAGGCTATTCCGGTGGTCCCGATTACAAACAAGATTATACTATCTGGTGGGTATATGGGATAAGCTGATAGGTATTACCATTTAAGGTTCGTTCTATCGACGCGAACAATAATTGCTTCGCCTCGAATAAGGGGAAACGGCAGTTCTCCATATTAAAAGCAATTTAACTTGTATGGCACACGTTATAGGTGATATCGTTATCATCGATATCACTTATGAGCGGACCAATACAATTTTTTGCGTCTAACTCTAGAAATTCTCAATAATCTTTAACGTTTTGTTTGTCTTTCGTTGCCACCGTCGTTCAGGTATAGGGAATCGGGAACTTCGGAATGGAAGACAATCCCCGTGACTCCATCGGGCAGCACAACGGTGACGATCAACAATCTCACGCCTAGCACGCTCTACGAATTTCAAGTGATCGGAAAGAACGCCCTGGGCGAGGGAATGCTGAGCAAAGTCATCACAGTCAGGACGCTCGGTAATGAAAACTACGTATTGCGTTCAAATTACTTTGACTACTGAAGTTTTTCATTTTAATAAGTAAAAAACGAGCAAAGAGTGTACGTAAAGTCCAAATTCGATTATCTAAAAATAAATATTATACATTGTATGTAATTGAGCTATTCTCTAATCATGTTGCTATCTATTAAAAATACTAACTATGGATATTTATCAGCATTAACGCTAATCTAACCAGTAATAACTAACAAATCGCAACTTTATTCGCCGACTAACAAACTAATCTTTGCTATTTGTACAAATTTCTTTCTCACTATTCGCATCTATCGCTGCGTTCTCCAAGGCGTTGCCCTGACCCAGTCGGCGACTCCTTCCGCGCCTGATCAACCCTCCTCTTCGGATCAAAGTGGTAAGATTTGAACGAAATTACTATTGCGGTTAAACTCATATCGCGATTAAGATGGGTGAAATATTGAAAAATTGAAATGAAATCAGCGTGACAAAATATTTAGTAAAAAAGTGGCGACGCGTTTTATGCAAGCCATCTATAAAATGTTTATATACTGTCGTAAATTTAAAACGCGCGAAATGCATCGGGGGTAACATAGTGCAGTTCCTTCAAGATGTTAAAATCGACGATTTTTACTGCTAGTTTAAAACCGCAAGCTAGCGAAAACGCAATCGGTTGCCGGAATATCTCGGAATATCCGTGAATTGTGCGATTCACTTCGCAAGCTGAGAATGGCATCTCGATGACTGTCGAAAGGAAATTCATGCGTGAGGGGTGTCGTTTCTCGTCCTCGCTCCGCTCTGATCCTCTCATCGGAGTATCGATCGGCGAATCGAAAAGTCGCGCGCGATTTCTTCGTCGGCTAGAACCGTAAGGCGGGGGGAAAAAAAGGAAAGAAGAAAGGAGAGACAAAAAGAATGAGAAAAAAGTGACAAGATAAGGAAAAGGGGAGGCAGAGGAGGGACAGGGGAAGAGCGAATGCGGATGCGGAATGAGGCGAGGAGCGGTGGAAAACCGAGAAAAAGGGACGGAGAGAAGGAACGGAGACTTCCGTGGCGACTTATCGTATCGGAAAACCCATCGAGCCGTTCATTCTGCTTCCGCTTTTATTTCCTTCCCTCGAATCCACCGGTTCATTGCCTTCCATTTGTACACACCGTACCTCGAGCATCCCCGATACCGGCGTCTAGGGATTTCTATCTGGTTACCTTTCAAGCGTTTCTTTCGCCTATCTGACTCCTTTCCCGTTGTATCTTTTTCCTCGTTGTAGCGCTTTTTCGCTTCTTACGCTTATATCCCCACGCACAAGCCCGCATCGTCATCGGGGCTTCGCTCGTTAGTCCGCGCCGCCGACAAAGGGCCCGGCTTCAACAACGCTGGTTAACCACGTTTAACTACATTTTCTTTTTCTATACTGCTCTCCACACAAAAGCGTACCAAAACTCATCGTGTTTCACGTACATTCATCGAGTTTCACAGGAATCCTCCAACTTTCGAGAGAGTCGATCTTTTCCAACAAACAATTTGTATTATACTTTCCTACAATTTATGTCCAAGTTTTACGTTACGATTCTGTAATTCGAAGCCAAGAAGATAAATTAAAGAATAAAATTTTGTTATCCACCATCCACCAGTGTGTAAGGGAGTATCTCAGTTTGTTGGCTGATTTGACATACTTATGAAAGAAAAGTTAAATTTTTATTTTTCGAAATCTAATTAAAAAGTATCTCACGCGCGGGACATAGATATGAAGTTTCGAATAATCCTCCGTATTGTATTCTATATTACAGTTGAAAAAGATATATTTATGCTGTAGTCGGGAGTTAATTGACATTGATGAAATCAACCCTAATTTGATTAGCAGAGAAGTTCACAATGAGTCCGCTTAGATTTCATTCATAAGAATCTGAAAAATATATAACGACTTATTTATTTTTAAGCAATTTAATTTTGTTTTTTTTCTGTTTTTGCTTGATTTTTTAAGTTTTTCTGTTTCTTTCTTTTCATTTCAGACATCCTTGATTACAATAGTCTCGTATTACCGACTGATTCCACAGGAAACCCCGCGTTTCCGCCAATCATACGACCGAAAGGTATACATATATTTCTATCTTTTTTTTTTATTTATATTATACGTAATAGAATCCATAAAAATGATCCTTAATATTGTGCGTTTGATAGTGATATTATAAAACGGCTGTTATATCCCATTGAAATGTTCGAAAGTGTTCGTCTCCGCTTTCACCCCGCCCACATTCGACGCGTTGTTTACGGTTGATGTGTGCACCGACGACACATATCGCCAATCTCCATCTCTTTCTCTCTCTCGTCGCAGATTCTTTAGGAAGGAATCTTTCGCGTCGCGAAGAGGTCGAGAGCGTAAAAATTCATTTTTTTCCTGAAAACCTCTTTCCGTCTCGCGCGGAGGGGAGCGGGATTAACCGCCATTACACGCTATGATGGACATGAAAATAAGTGTCAAGCGGTCCGACAGGGCAATAAGAATGAAACGCGTGTTCGCTCCCACGCTCGCATACAGTTCGGCATACCGCGGAGGAAGATACAGAGGAAAATAAAAACGAAATCCTCTTAGCCGCGGCGTACCGGCGAGAGAGAGAGAGAGAGAGAGAGAGCTAGACGGAAGGCATTCTCCAGAAGGGAGAGCAGGAAATAACATCATACATTTTGCACGTAGCAGACGGTTCCAAACAATCTACTCCGCTTTGGAGCTGAATAAACCCAAGAAAGTTTTAGTTGCCTCTCCCGCGAGTCGGAGTTTCAATCATATTTGGATCGTTGGGCGGAATAGTGACGTGAATAAAAAAAAGAGAGAGAGAGAGAAGGAATAGAATACAATTCCAGCGTCCAGCAGTTTTTATACGTAATTACATTTTGAAGTGAAAACTTTATATTATAATTTTGTATTTTCGCGCAGCAGCTTTATTCATTCATTTAATAATGCCGCACTGTGTGTGTGTGTGTGTGTGTATTTTTTAACAAAATTTTTATATATATATATATATATATATATATATATATATATATATATATATATAATCTCCGAGTATGTACATTTCTCCGCAGGCATAACAGCCATTATTTGCGCAAAACTAATAAAATATAAAATCCTCGCATCTCTCGCTCGATGGAGGCGGGAGAAAGCACTCGTAATGGAATTCAGAAGGGGGAGAAGAGAAAGGAAATAACTTCATACGTTTTATCTACAAAGCAAATATTCGAAACAATACAAGTCGCTAATTTTGTATTTTCATGACCAAATCAATCGGCCTATTTGCCGATTATTTTCAATTTTTTCACGCTAATTTCGTTCGCGTGGCTATGTAGTGAAAAACCATGAAAAGGTTTTTTGCCGCCCAAACGCTATAATTGGAAACGTTTATCTAGCGCACTTGCACAACAAAGACAAAAGTTTTTTTTTGCAAAAATAAGTCTGTTATCTTTATTTTTTCGTCTCTGCATGCATATCGGGGTGAACGAAAATCAATTCATGTACTATGTCCCACGAGAGAATTTAGAGAGTGTTTTCTTTTGATCTCCAAAACTCATCGATTCAATCTTGTTAGCCTAACGGTATATTAATCAATTTGAATGACGCTAAAAATTGTGTCATTCAAATTGCCAATGTACGGAAAATCCGTGGAATTCGATAAAGTCGCCAGTGTTTTAAACGAAACGTAAAACAGCTGCTGCCGATACGCACTATATTTGATCGTAACTAATTAACAATAAGAAAATTTATTGTTTGCGTAATCAACAAAGCAAACAATCGTGAAACAGTTTTTACGTTTATCGCAATTCGCAGAAACAACAAGGCAATTTCCGGCAATTTCGTAAATTCCGCCGAGATATTTTCCAGAACAGCGGCCATTAAATTGATAGGAAGGAAACGGGAGAACGGAACGAGATATTTGCTTTGTTGGAATAAATCTGTGGGGCAGATTGGGTGAATCAGAATATGACGGAACAAAAAAAAACAGGAAACCAGGAATCAAATAAAACGTTTGCACTTCTCCGTGCGAATTATTCGCGTAATGCGAGCTGTTTTCTCACTCGTACTTCAACGTATCTTCTTTTTGACGATCATACGTTATAATTCACACTTCACGGCATGAAATCATACTATTACTAAGAAAGAAATGGTGCCAGCTCGGACGTTAATAAGGTTAACGCGTGTACGCCGGAAGCAATTAGGTCGTGGCATTACATGTGTAAGAAGTGATGAAAGAAGCTGATCTCACGTCCGACTAATCCAATTAAGAATTTGCACCGATACTCATTTTATTCCGACCTAGTGACTTCGCATTCAGTGATAACAGAAGTACATGCTGATTTATTCATATAAATTCATATCCAATTTACTCTTATTTTTGTATCATATATATTACGTAAAACATTATTATCATATTACGTAAAAGAAATAACGAGCGTCAACCTTGCCATTTCAGAGCTCGCAGGGTGTCCATCTTGATTTATCGGGATGTCCACTGTCACATTATGGACATACATACGAAAATAACGAATATTTAAAATAATCCCTGCCTCAAAATGAACGTAGTTGATCCATCATGCTCATACCAGCGCATTTGCTCATATCAGCCAATGCAAAGAAATTTTAAAACCTTTTTTTTTCACCGTTGCAAGCGACATATCGCAGTCGACCCAGATACGCGATGATGAAAAAAGTCAGACATACAACTCGATGGCGCGAATACCGACGGATTTGATAGATGCGAAAATGTCGCTGCGGTCAGAATGGCGTTAACGTTTCCATCAAAAAAAGCTTTCCGCTGGCGCTGCAACTCGGTGCATCACCGGAATTATTTTGGAATTACAACAACATTTATTTGCTGACGCCAAAGAAACTTTCCCTACGTCGGGGTTTTTTTTGCGCACACGCACAACTTTAAATCTCTCTCCATTTTATTACTGGAGAAATTATTTGTCAATCGTGCGCACAGGGTAAAACATACCGAATGACGTGAGATTAAAAAATTACCTATAAAATGCGAGATATTATCTTAGTTTAGTTTATTAGGATCAATTTATTCGATGTTATTATTTCCGATCGATCTGATCGGCGTGATTTTAAATCGCCAGGACCAAAGCCAGGTACTCCCCGGAACCTCACGGTGACGGAAATCAGCAACGGTTTCCTGATAACCTGGCAACCTCCTGTGGAAAAAGCCCATCTTATCCAATACTATACTATCAAGTACAAGACGGACGGACCTTGGAAAACGCTCAACAAGGGCCAAATACGACCCGAGGAGACCAGTTATTTAGGTGAGACCCTATTGCCTTTCTCTCGCTCTTTCTCTCTCTCTTTCTCTTTTTGTCTCTCTCTTGTTGATCGCAGCGATTATTATGCATAAAGTTTCTTACGAGCATCGGACAGACGTTCAGCACCGAGTACGAGTAATTCCAAAACACACTCATAAACCAATATATTACTTATCGAACTGACTTTCGAGAGTACCGGCTTTCATGCAATTTCCCATTTAACGCGAACGCCCACAGTGAAGAACCTGGTCGGTGGTAGGACCTACTATTTCCAAGTGTTCGCCAACTCGGCCACGAATTACGGCGCGAGCGACCAGGTGAAGTTTCCCGTGCCGGCTCGTGTTAAGCACAAAGCGATCACCGCGGGCGTCGTGGGCGGCATCCTCTTCTTCCTCGTCGCCATCATCCTCAGCATATGCGCGGTGAAAATATGCAATAAACGGAAGAGACGAAAACAGGAGAAAGGTATGAAACGCCCCGTGGCGTTATCGACGTATCGTACACCGTTTTGCCCGCAATTCGCCTGGACCTGTGCTCCTGGTTGTGTCGTCTCTGTGTTAATTTTTCGCAATATAAAGAACAACGTTCTCTCGGAGAGAAAGTCTCGCAAAACTAACGCCATATATAATGAAGTTATAATTAACTTTTGTTAAATAGTTTGGATTTTAATGGATATATAATTTTAATCTACTAGCTGCTAATTAACTGCTTTAATTCGCACACGTTACGTCCTTTCGGAACGGAACAGAGCAAGGTAAAGTAAGTTAATTTTATTGTGCGTTATTTCTCTTACTTGGTCCGTCCTGGGCCCTCTTATTTTTTAACTTTTAACTAAAAACTCATATCGATTGTGGCAGCCATTTGTATTCAGTGCCCAGGACTGGCCAAAGAGACGGCTACGATTTGGCAACGCAGGCGCCGGGCATGCACCTGTGAATCTGAACATTCATGTTTAACATAATTATGTAACATTGTAGAACTGCTTTCAGCGTATAATATGGTGGCCTGCCGGGTCACCGACGCCAGGAACGGCGCAGGGCAGGGGCCCCAGGGAACAGTGCCTTTGAAAAAGTGAGTGTCTACCATCCGAAACACTATTATCCCCTCAGGTCCCAAAAGAATCTTGACTCTTAATACTTGGGAGCATTCCTAAAGGCTCTGATCATCACGACAAATAGACCGAAGAGGTCGCAGCTGCACTGGAAATCTGTTTCATCTGCCAATCAAAGTTCGAGATTCGCAAAAGTATAGAAAATTTAACCATTCAATAATCGCGACGAATATCTTCCAAATACAACCCAATATGTAATCAATAATTTCCCGACAACCAATAAATTAGATGAATTCTGACAACGCATTAAACTGCTCTAAACGTCGGCTCTTCAGAGACCGATAAAGAGATCTTTGAACGCTTGATTAAGATAAAACAGGTCATACGACGATCGACAATTTTATACCGTCGAAACGCGTCACGAAGTGCAGATGCGACTTCAAAGAAACATATATCATTTAGGTTTAGCCAGAACTAGCGATTAAGTCCATTCCACCCCCTCTTAACAAGCAATAGGCGATCGAAGCACCTCAAGCATTTACGAAACCTGTCACGAATAATCTTCTAGCCAACAGATATTCGAACATTCACCTTTAATATGATATATATTATATATATAATTACGCATATACGTTTCTATATTTATATTGCCCCGGATGTGTCAAAATTAATATATATAAATACTTCGTATCGCTCCTACGTCAACGACTCTCTCTTTGCAGCCATGGCTTTAATGATAATCCCTCTTTCGCAATTTCACTTCTCAAATTAATAACAGCCGCTCGATTATTTTACGAGCTAATCGGAAGTAACGATGACATGCCGTTGTCGTACCAGCGACACGTTTACAAAGACATACATACGACCGTGAGAGACTTAAGCGAGAGACGTACGGAGAGAAATCCATTCTCTCTCCTGCCGTCAGCTCGATCCACTTTGACAAAGGACAAGCGCATCCCCCTGAAACGGAGGGGGATTAAGGAAACGAGGAACGACAGAAACCTCTTTTGATCTACTTGCGCCATACATAACACTGTGAGCTTCTAGATGTGTATATATACATATATATATCTCGTAGCAATTAAACCGGCAGACTAAACCGCAGCAGCAGAGGTATTTTGGACGAGGTTTGGAGAAACGATCTTTCGATAATCGATAAGTAATTTACGCAGACACTCCCACGCGCAACACGACGTGCGGTGCGTGCATGCGTGCACCGTGCACGCCAGGCATGAACAAAAGAATCGAGCTCGTTTAGGTGCGATCTGGCGTTCCGAATCGAACCGAATACCTCGTAGCTCGAGTCAAATAGAACGCGGCGAATCGTTTGCAATGGATAATTGCGCGCGTGATAATCAATTCGTTTCCCGCATCTCCGAAACTCGGTTTTTTTTAGCGATGCGGGAATACGAAAGGAATATACGGAAAGGAACGAGAGTTGCGCATAAGAAACGGCACAGATTTTTGAGAACAGCAATCTCTATTATATTTATTCAGTTTGAAAAGCGCAAGACAAACTTATATAGAAGAGTACAATGCAACAACTGCAATTATTTCAGTAAATTAAAATTTGAGAGAAAAATCTTGGTTTTTTTATGCAATCGCGAAATATCGAGGACGGCTCGATTTGGATCGCCGTCATCGCGATTCGCGTGATCTGGAACGACATGCACATACAACACTGAGAAAGGAAGCTACGAATAAGAAACGAGAACGAAACATGCAGACGATCGTCGTCGCACGTCGCGTTTTTGACGCACCCCCGTGATATTCGGGGGAAAAAAAGAGAAGCAAAAAAAAAGACGAGCCACGGCGTAGCGCGTGGGGCGTTCGGCTTATATTAGTGATTTCACGCCAAGCGGACTGCACGTGTAGTATAGCGGGTAAAACACAGTTGTGACTCTGTTATGATTTCCATCGCGGCATCCAAAAGTCCACAATACGACTGCAGTGATGCCTATTCTGGATCGTAACTCGCCATTGATTTTGCGACGCCACCTCTTTACCGTATACATATATACATACGCGTTTCGTTATTCGCTTCCGGTCGACCCCGAACCCGCGACGACTTTTAAAACAATTCATTCGACCCAGCCATCGTTCACTGTCATCGTTTCTATCAGCCGCACCGTTGTCCTTATACTTGATTCTCTCGAGTGCAATTATTGTCGGTACTGTGTCCGTACCGAGTCTCAAAATGCTCCTCGTGCGTCTTATCGCGGTGCTTATCGTGAGGGTGCTAACAGAGATCCAATCTCCTTTATCCCGTTCCTTCGTGTATTATCCTTACTTACACGCACAGGCAACGCTCACGCTTCCACAATACGAAACATCGATCCATCGATCGAACGTACCAGAGACCAAGTACGATCGCACGATATCTAATACAGATTTTTTCGTAGGTTCGAAGCCGATTGCGAAGACGTTCCGAATTGAACCGCATATACGTGTAATTATGAGTTAAAATGAATTTTCGCAGTCATAACGCTGTATTCTCGACTATTACATCGTCTAATTTGCGACCAAGCATGCGCTTTTGTAATTGACATATACGAATATCGATCGTCATCCTTTTTCACTGCGCAAACAGCGGACTAGCTCTCTCATATCATTTTGTCGTAAATATAGAATTTCAGTGTGGGGGGATACTGCTACCATAATCTAGACTTAATACTTGCGCCTTGCGTGTACCTGTTCTATTGTTTCCAATCCTTAGAATAACCCTTGAAAGTATCTAATTCATGCCGCCGTATCATGTATCATCCGTCGTCACCCTCATGATAAGTCGAAACGTAACGTCGCGCAAATTTTCACTGAAAGCGCGGTCGCGGTTTGTTGAGAGTTATACCGAGAGAGATCGATATTGCACGTTTATATACCTACACGTATATATATATATCCAGAACGGGCTGGACGGTTCAGCCACTGCCAAGAGTCTTTTTCTCCGAGGCCCGCATTCGTGGTCATGTGTCTGGGCTGTATGCCGAGTAGAAGCAACGATTGCAATTCCCTAATGCTTCAACAATGTCGGACACGGAGAGCGCATTAATTTCCTCGGGGACCACGACAGCTTCGTTTTGACGAAGTTGCGAAAAAACTTAACGAAGTTAAAGTTAAGGATCGACTTTAACGTAATTTTCTTCCGTACGTGTTTTCTTCTGACGATTGCAGTCGGTGCGCTTGTCGACTCGGCAGCTCGAAATAACGACTACGAATACAGGCCTGAAATGATGCTCGGTGCTAAGCACCATCGCGATCAGAGCAAGGATCAGAAGAGAGCCGCGACGCGAGTTAGAGAATAGCGTCAAGGGTCGGGAGACTTTGGAGAGGAAGGGCGCAGGGAGGTGCTAGTTCGCGAACGTTATCGGCCAAAAGACGGGAAAGAAAGAAATTGAAAAGAAAAGCGCCGGTAGATAGTAGAGTCAATCGATCGTAGTCAACGAAGGGATTTTCCCCGGCTACCTTTCTCTCTATCTCTACCACTGTCTTTTATTTCTTTCGCATTTTCCTGCGTCTCCGACCCTAAGCCAATTCTCGCGCAAAACGGCAACCGCGAGGAGGCCGACAGGCAAGTCAAGATAGCCGTTGCGACAAAAAAAAAAAAAAAAAAAAAGAAAAAAGAAAAAAGGAAAAGAAAAACGAAAGACAAGACGATAAGAAATCGTGGGCGTCTCTTGTCCTCCTCTCTCTCTGTGTTTTCTGTAGGTCGACAAATCTAAACGCGTGCGGCGAGTCAGTCTCGACGCTGACCCGTTGCAGCCCGTTGAATCCGCAACTACCACCACCACCACCACAACCTCTTCATCAATCACCACTTCCTACGCAAGTAACCACCCCCGCCACTGCCACCTCGGAGCCGGTCCACGAGCAGGCCCCCCTGAACCGTGATCGTGACCATCACGCACTCCACCTCGATAATCGAGATTACGAGAGCGTGTTTATCATAGAGAGGCGGAACAGTAAGCCTAACCTCCGCTAGCCACACAGAAAAAAACCAAGTACTACCACTACTACTATTACTACTACTACTGCTACTACTACCACTACCTATTACTGCTACTACTACCGCTACTACCGCTACTACTATTACCACCACTACGTACCCAAGAACCACGGTTGCTCCCGAGAACCATGAAAATAATGCCTCCCGCCGACGGTATACGTATATGTGTTTGTGTGTGTATAAACACGTTGTACCGAGCGGTCCGTCGATCGATCGAACGAACTGTCAGATCGATCAGATTTCATTCTCCATCAGTCGTCGATCCTCCTCGGTCGATCGAGCGAGCGAAACGCCAATTTGCCCGGTGGGACACACATGCCCGTTACTACTACTATTACTAGTACTACCGCTACTACTACCACTACTGCTACTACTACCTACTACTATGCGAGACTACAGCTCTGCAATGTTACCTGCTAGGACCTACTAATCTACTCTACCACCTACTACTATCTACTACTACTACTACTTAGGATGATTGTCATGACTGTAGATGAGATCTGCAATACAGGCAAAACAGCTAGGAGTTCACACTAGTAACATCCAGTCAGTACCCTAATACCTTCGTTCGGCGGCCTTAGGGAGTACATAGATAAGATCGAGGCAAGGCGGTAGATTTCTTTCTTTCTTTTTTTTTTTTATTTCTTTTCTGCCGATCTGTGAAAGAATTTTTACGATTTTCTCGACGTATTATTCTCGCATTATATTCACTGTCATCGGTATATCGATCAATCGTTGCTTCTTTTATGTACTATTTCGAAGACGAACCGGGAGTAACCCCCCAGCGCAGTGTCCGCCTCTCTTCCATTCTATCACGCTTTACTCATTTCATTGCTCTTTTATTGCGTGTACGTATTTCTTCGTTCCACATAGGATTCATTGTCACGCGCGCTTATTAAAGAACCATAAACTGTTATTACCTCCTACTTTGACTCAATCCATTCTCCTCGTTCAATTCTTCACATTATTGCTTCTCTATGAAAATCACCATTATGATACTTATTTCCTTTGCGAAATTACAAAGTGTTTAATATCATGTCTTTATTATCTTTGTACTGTTTAATTTCCTCTTTCATCATTAACTAATTTGCGCGGAGCGCAATATGTTCGAGAGGTGCATTATCTATTTGATCAGTCTTCACTCTCTCGAAAACAATTTTTATGAGAGAGATTACGGTAATCATTTTAAATAGTTTTTAATATCTTTCAAATGAAAGACGATCATATTTTATTGCTTTCAAATCTTGGCTTTCAGATAGATCGCGCCTATTGAATAATTCAGAAAATTTATTGTGTTTTCTTTAGAGATTTTTAAACTTTTGTATCTCATATTATAAGCTTAACTATCTTTTTATCGCTAGTGTGTTCTTTGTCGCGTTTGTACTCGCTATTTTGCAATTCTTCATATTCAGTTTCGATTTATATTTCTATTAACGTTAAACTACCATTTGTATATTTCTTTTGCTTTTACAGCGCTCAACATGATTGCAATACTTTTCAAAGTATGTCACAAAAGTTTCTCATTTTTCTAAATATCTTCACATATTTACACATTTTAATTATTACTATCTTCCAGATTATTATTACAAATATGACACTAAGAGGTATATTATCCTGTTAATGCGTTCATTCGCTATCACAAATCACTATATCGCTTGACTTTAAAACTTCCCACCATGACGACGCTTTCATTTATCACTTATCTACTCAATTAATTGTTAATTGGCAGATAAATTTGCGGCGACTCGATGTGTTACGCATTTGATGAATATTATTTCAATTCATCTATCCGTCGTTTCTTCCGAAATTGTTTCCACGGAGATTTGTTTCGTACTTCACTAAAATAACCATCGAGTTTCCTTATGACAGTTACTTTTCTTAACTTTCATTCACCGCGCAATGAACATTTCTCTTTCTTAGATGCATTATTTTTAGCATCTATTAAAATTTACTTCATAAACAGGTAGCAGGAAGTTACTGGTATATTTTCACAGCTTGTCGCATAAATATGCACGTTTAAATTTATTTGTCTGATAAAATTTATTACCAGTAATTGATCTATTTACAAAGATTATCCAGTAGCTTGCTGTACAATTTCTAGACCATTAAAATCCGGTTTGGTGCATGTTGTTTAATGATAACGTTTATAATATCTTTCTAATTAAAGATAAGTCCATATTAAGAACATCTGAAGAATTCGAAGCACATTTTAGCCAATGCCGGGCTTACCATACCGCTTCACATTATCTAATCACGTCTTAGCTCGTCACATCACGGTATTAGTTCACAACATTAGTTCTTACAAGATGCTATTCTTGCAATATTATCCAATAAGATTCTCTGTCCATACATAGTCCACACAGATCGCATGTGGCACGAGTATCGCCTCATATTTCGTCATAGATGCAAAAAGCAATATTCGTATACATCCGATAATAGCCGGCCGATGAATTGGTCGTTATATCGAAGAAACGTTTGTCAGAGGAATCGAATAAAACTTCAATTTGCGCGACACCAAGTTTTCAACGGCGTACATATGGCACGTACGGCTGCAACGATTATTGCGGCGCGCACGGGCCACGGCGGAGCTCTAATTCAAGCTTCTTGTGTTATTTGATTGTTTCCAGTTTGTCGATTCTAGATGACCAATAAACAGACAGACACGCTCTCTCACGCTTACACGCGAACACGCGGCAATAAGCAAGGCGGAGATAGGTAAGCCGCGCTCGTTGCGGCCGCGCGAAAACTTGTATATCCACATATATACTCATATACCCACTATTGTCGACTGTCCACCTGTTAGTCGTTCACGACGCCACGTTGCATTATCCCATTCGGCCTGTTGAAAGTCGACATACACACTTAGATCCGTTAGACCCTCCCGTCCTTAAATCCAATCTGCAATTGATTTCAACGACAGTCTCCGCACTTTTATAATTTACTCGACTGTGCCACAATCTTCTACTTCTCTTTCACAGGATCGAGTGTTTCCAGGAAAACGAAAATTATACAATACACATATAATGTATAAAAATTCACATTCGGATTATTTAATCGAACCTCGCGACGTGCTTACGTTTACAAAAATTACCCTGCCGACACGTAGATGACAGTTTGTCCATCGCGTTGCCATTATTTGCGATTTCCTTACTGCGAAACACTCGGTTGATTCATATACTTGTGCCTCATTTTTCTACATGTTTCGCTGTGTCTCTGTTATCTCTTGTGATACTTTTTCTAAACGAGGAAACAGTATACCGTTCAAGACGCCTTTCTACTTTCGCGTTGAATCCGATATTAATTGAATGTAACGACGGTGAAACGCGTCTCCACCGACACCCATAAGACACTATTTATCTATTTGCTCCCTAACACCACCGCCTAGAAAGTAACGTTCGGTTATTTAGCGTTATATTTCTTATCATTATCGCCACGACATATTGTGTTTTGTGAATGTAATCGTTGTGTTACAACATTCTCTCTCCCCCATCTTTCCTTGCTGCCGGACCCGAAGGAGGAGAAAAGGTGACGAGTTTCTCGGAGCACCTAAATCCACAATTGCTATTCACTGATCAAAGTCAAAAGAAAGTGCAAAAGATTCGCGCAAAACAATATCTATGAGAATGGGACAAAATTTTGCGAGCAAAAAGAAAACAAAAAACTATACATACACATGAGAGAAATATAAGATTCGTTTTGTAAAAGTTAAAGAAAGAAAAGAAAAAGATCCACTCACTGCCGAGGCCTACCCATCCGCAACCCACGTCACGCCCGATCACTCGTGCACCGGAATGTGCATGCGCATGCCTTCCCTGCCTGCATCCGTTATTCATTATTATACGTACGAGTAATTGATTATTGATAATTATCTTGCCCATATTTAACTTGAACATTGGCATTTACGTTACGTTTGTTCTAGTACTTTATTTAACTTTCGTTCGTTAACATTGCCGTGTCTTTTGCCATTCGTGTTGCACGTACTTGCCGTATCCGAGCGGCCGATGGACCACGTCGGAGGAAGAAGCGGGATAATCTCAGAAGCGTTTGTTTCCGTAAACGATTTCATTAAACGGGGATGCTTCCGCGGAAGCGATAAATTCGCGTGTATGCGGTCGATGAGTACCGAAATTTTTCCCCAAATATCAAATCAGAAAAAGAAAAAAAAAACGAAAAGTGAAAAAACTATTATACTAAAAATAGCTTTTAGCAAATAACGTCACATCCAGCAATCACCAACGTACGCCTTTTTGTTTTTATATTATTTAACACACGCTTAAATTCGCGACATAACGAGAACTGTACGTTTATTTCGGAAAAGTTTTGGTACTACGCAAAACGGGTGATATGGATCCCGCGTGGATCCTACCGCCAAGATCATCCTCCGACGATGTCGATCGAGCCGTGCCTATCAATCGCCACCGCCGCGATCGCTCTAACGCTCCTTCTGTCCTATAGACCTAGAAAAAGCCGAGTACCAGGTTTAACCCTCCTGAAGGAGATCCTGAGCCCGGATACCCCGGACTCGTGCCGCTGTCGTCCGCTGGGCAAGATCTCCCGCGCGGCCGACGGCCGCTTCGTCGTGGCGGACTCGGTTCTCAGCTCGGCCAACAACAGCATCCTGGACGTCTCCAGCAGCGACGACGGTGGTTTCCTGCCGAAGCAGCGGCTCAAGTCGTCGTGGCGACGCCCGCTGGTCGGCACCAGCCAGCTCAGCCTGAGATCCGACGGCAGCGGCGTGTCCATAGGTCCCCTGCCAGCGAGCTGTCACCACGGCATTGTAAACCCTTTGGCGAGGATACCGCCCGCGAACGTTTGCACGATCACGTCACCCAGATTTCTGGCCAGTTCGCCGAGCGGGGCACAGGTCCCCTGGACACCTTTGTACTTCAGCGATCTCAGCTCCGTCAAGCAACCATCCTCCGGCGAACGTTCCTTCCCGACGCCACCTGGCTACCTCCAGCTTCGCAGCGTGCACCAGCGATACAGCCAGGAGTTACCGTCTCTAAAAGCGATCCACGCCGAGTCGAGGCGGTTCGTGCCGGTCCAGCCGTTGGCGACGTCCTCGCCGCCGCAACCGGCCGGTCGACCCAGGGCGCGGTTACCGCCGAGACACGCCAGGCACGCGAGATCGGCACCGGAACTCGCTGCCTCGCCCGACCTGGAGACCTCGCCCGAGAGCAGATCGAGCAGCTCGGGTTTCGGCAGCAAGAACACCTCGCAGCAGAACCAGAGCTCGAGAAGCGGTAGCACAGTCGCTGAATGGAGGCCGCCGCCTTACAGACCACCCCCGCCGCCGTTGGTGGGCCGCTGGCTCGAGCTTCAGGATCAGGTCAAGATTGGGCACACGCACATACAAAACGCCGTGGACGCCGGCAGCGTTGACGGCCACTACGAGTTCGATCCGGTGTCGTGCACGCCGACCCCCACGTCGGCCTCGACGCCTACGCGGGAGGAGAGGCCACCGATGCATCAGATCCATACAATTCACGTTCCCCACATCCATCAAGTGCACACGGTACATCAGCAAGCGCCGAGGTACAGCAGAGAGAACATAGAGGCCCGGGTACAAGCGATGAAGGCGGAATTCCATCAGTTCCGGCAGAGACAGGCGAGAAGACGACAGAGCGCGCATTTGGAAAGCGCGTGTTGAAGGAATCGAACAACTCGAAGGCGATCCGAACGATCGATTCAATTTCATTGGGGCTGCTGCACCGCGAGTCCAATGATCGAGTTGAAACGATTGGGATGGTTGCCGAGTTAAATACATAACGTGCGAGACAAAAGTAAATTCTTAAAAGAAGAGCTAAGAGAAGGAAGCTAGATATATCGCTCGCGATTAGATTTTGGTACTGGCTTTTGACTACCGTAGAAGATCGCGCGTTTCAGCACGGCGACGATAAAAAAATGTGATCATCACCGAAGACCAACCACCGCAAGCACAACGAGGATCATCATCACACGTGATTCCGCATTTAGAGGAAGTTTAAGTCAATTCTAGTAGCTGGACATCCATCTACAAAAGAAGGCTGTTATAAGCATCAGCTCAGGATACATAAGTTTCGCACGACCACGAGACGGGAGCGACGTAGTAGAACCGTACGTTAAGACGATAATCTTTCGGAGTTTCGCTCGTTTTACCGATTATAAGAGGACCGTTCGAGTATCCCACGGGGGAAAACAATCTCGATATCATTTACTCGGGGGGGGGGGGGGGGGGGGGCTAAATCCAGCGACGTCGATCGCGCTGGGACGAGATAATAGAAAAACGAAGTGCGTTAAACGAAAAATGTTCGAATCCGATTATTATTGGTCATATCCCGCGTACACCAACCACGCCTATGTCCGGTTTAGAGGACCGTGATTTTTAACGTTACTATATATAATAATGTAGAGGAACATACGGAAGGATTCACGGGGGGACGAATAGGGGGAGGACGCTTTTTTTTAAACTCAGTGAAACTGTCCTTTAGAGCTAGGAAGTGCGCAGAAGAGAAAGAAACACTCCCGATTGGCTCAAGGGGATGTCATACGTAGCGGGATTCTCCCCGTTATTATCGCGATCGGGGACGAAAGATGACGAGAAGGAGGGACAGGAAAGCGAAAGAACGGGATAGTTACGTCGGCATGATACTCCAAAGAAACTGTACCACTGTACATGCTCCGCGTATACCTTTTAAATATAAGATTAAATTTAATCGTACGCTGTAAGTAATAATTAAAAACGAAAGAAAAACAAAAAAAGTAAGATAATCGAAGAATTACCACACACTCACATATGGACACGTACACACACATACATCATATACAGACACATACATACACATAAAGTAATTATATCGATGAGCAATGGACTCGAAACGTGATATTAGGCCGAAGCTTGCCTCGAGATTGCTTAAGGACTCACTCGTACTGCACTGCCTGTTTAGGGTTTCGCTAGCGACCCAACATATTATCGGCACAATAATTTTTCTTAAGCAACGTAAAAAAAAAAAAACGAGAATAAGAATAACGTTCTTCGAATCTACGCGCGTTCGGCCAATGTAGCGCGGCGATTGTGTGTGCGTGTTCACCACGTGTGTCAGCCCGTGTGTGCGGGGTGACACGCTGGCTTTACCGCCTATCGGCACACCGAAGTTCACCGGTCGTCCTTCTCGAATTAGATTAGCGACGCGCGAGCACGCGTATCGACGATAAACGACGTCGACCGGACACTTAAAAAAAAAAAAAAAAACAAAGAACAATGAAAATCATTAGGAAAAAAAAATCTTTCAACTGCCAATGATAAGGAGGTCCGACGGTGCGTTCGATTCATTTCGTACGAAGCGTCGATTAAATAAGTAACATTAGAGCAATTAAGTGAAGAACGACGACCGATAGAGACGCATGGTCATCATCGCCGGAAGGCAAGGTGCGCGCGCGCACACACGCGCCAATCAAGCCGAAGTTCGTGTGTAATTAGAGAAACGAAGGAGTTTTAAAACACGGAAGCGTACACGTCACACCTACATACATATATATATATACACACACACACACGACGGACACGATTAAATACAAACACGCTCATAAGCGACAGAAACGAAACACACAGACGCGCACATAATACGAGAAAGAGAGAGAGAGAGAGAAGCGTTCTTCGAGACCCACCTAATTCTCACCAAACGCATCGGATCATCTTGAATCACGTGAGATCGGGGGCCGGTGATCGCCGATCGCGACGCGGGGGGGTTCTCGGGCGAATCTACGGGCTAATCAGTGTTGAGCTGCGCGACCTAACGCGAGAACGTGTGCCCCTTGGCGAGGGGGTAACCCGGCGGCGCGCTCGTTCCTCTTACCCTTTTTTTCTAATTTTCTCTACACGTGCGACCGCGAAGGCACCTCCCCTGCACGTGGGATCGGCCCGGCCCGCGACTCCCGGCGTTTTACTTTCTTTATAGTACAAACACTTATTTATATATACGTACATATTATACATATTTATTATAAATATTAGCAAGGGCCCTACTCACGATTCAACTATACTTCGACGAACCGTAGACGGCGAGAGGAAGAGGAAGAAGATGAGTAAGAAGGGAGCGGCGTGGACGTCATCGAAGCGCTCTATACAATTTTCGTTAAGATGTGCATGCGTTAAGATGTGCGTGCGTAACGAAGCCGAATCCAGACTAGGCGAACAGACGAGCGCGAACAAACGCGAATGAACAGCTTGCTTCAATCAGCGCGAGTGTTAATATTCGCGATACCGTTCGCACTTATCGAACTTGTTCATTCGCGTTTGATATCACGCTCGGCTTGAATCCGGCTTGACGTGCGAGAAAAGATGAACGTGCGAGAATAACGTGTGGACGAGTGAATGGAGTGCGAACGAATATACATAGATTAAAAAGCTAGATCCAGATCGAGCAAAAGCGAGTGCGAACAAACGTTGAGTGAATAACTTGTTTCGGTGATTGCGAATATCAGGGAGCACATGGCGGCGCCATGTTCGCACTCATAGAAGCAAGTCCGTCTATTCTTTCGCGTTTGTTCGCGCGCACGTTTGCTCGGTGTGTTTTCGGTTTTGACACGTGAGCAAATGCGGTTGTTAAGAAAAAAAAACAGAACATAATGTAACATACACGATCCCGCAGAGATAAAAGAATAAGAAAAAAGAAATACGATAAAAGTTAAGAAATAACGGAGGTGACACGAAAGAGTACCAATATTCTAAAGTAATTCTAATGGTTGAATTAATAATTTGATAATTAATTGATATTGTAAATCGTAAACGACGTAGCGTGTAGCGTATTAATCAACGAGAGCGACGAACGCGGCGAGTATTCATTAATTATTATATCCGCGCGGGAGTATTACGACGTGAGATATATACATACGCGGAAGGACGGGGGAGGAGGTGCTGAAGGACTCGCGCCGGCAGAATGGTACCAATTTTTATCGTCAATCGCGTAAAATCGTTAATATGTTACTAGCGATAAAACGTATATCGGATGCATGAGATGTGTGTAATATTGGGGATGAGAATAGATCTCTCCGTCGAGTCAACGTTCACCGTTAGACGTTGGGGAAAACGTTTTTGATAACGCGATGATAATACACGCTTCGTAATCGTACATTATAGACACCCTCTCCCCCTTCTGGATGGATGCAGCAAAAGGAAAAATCATGTAAGCGAGAGAAGGCGATCCAACCAACGGACTTGTAGATGTATAAGTAACGTGTAGATATATCATAGTTAGATACACACAACGATCTCAAGAGGTCATACAGTGTGAACGATCGCGATAATGTACGAGAATGAGAGAGAGACAGAGAGAAAGAAAGTATAAGAGAGAATGAAAGGAAGTATGTGAGAGAAGAGAACGAAGAAATGAGAAGTAAATAAAAATAGTGAGTAACCAAAAGAGAAAATTTCGAATGATTCTTCGCGTTATCTTTGAGTCTATCAGGCAGCGTGGAAGGCTCATACGATAAAACGAATATGTTCGAAACACGTATTCGAAATACGAGGGAAATGTAGGGAAATTGTAAGATTGTGAGAGAAAGTACTGTATGGTTGTGAGAGAAAGAGAAAGAGAGAGAGACAGAGAGAAAGAGAGAGAGAAGAAAAGAAAAATAAAAGAGAAATGACGATTTCGCTTGAAACGGCATATTTATGGATAATATGGTTGAATCGTGAATCTGTTTGTAAAACTTTATCACCGGTCACGACGGTTTCGTTCGTCCTGTGTTCCTTCTTCGCGACTCGTGTGGATGATTTACGTTTGTCATCGTCATCGCGCACTTTTTGCGTTCGCGATATTCGTCGTTGTATCCTTCTCCGCGTTGTCGCACACGCGTGTAACTCGCGCGAGGCCGCGAGCGACCGCCGTGATTCGTGGATTAATTAATTAATTAAGCGTTTCGTTCGTTATGTACCTGAAAGCCAGTCGCGGTATCTCGGCTTATCGCCCGAGATCGCTCGAGCGAAATTCTCGGTGAGCCCTCGAAGCAGGACGTTCGCGATTTTGGAGAGTCGGCGATTTTTCGCGCATCGCGGACCACGTGTGCAACTTAACATTCGTCATGCGGCGTACGCTTATTTCGCTTAATGAGTTCATGTACAAACTGTAGATAGCCATAAATATATTGCGTAAATACATAAATCGCGAAAGTTTTAGCTATACTATTTATAGCTATTATGTCATATATACGAGAGGCGAACGCGCGATGGCGATAACCCGTAATATTGCATTAGATAATCGCGAAAAAAATTTACAATAGCTCGCGATCTCATCGTTAAATCAGCTCGTGTTAAATTACGAACGCATTCCGAATGCATTTCCCATGAAACTTTGAAAATATTCTCGACGTAGTTCTGCAACGATAAGTATTCGAGTCTTCGGCATATTTTTTTGAATTACAAAGAGGCATAACGGCGACGATGCTGCTTCGAGGTTGTAGTTTTCGCGCGTGAGAGGTGATAATTTGACGTGAAATTACATGCTAGTGTCATAAATATTCGCGATATCACACGGTTGGATATGATATCATCGCAACCTTCGGTCGCGTGTAAGACACGTGCGAGTCGAATTCAATGGCTCTCGGGTACTACGTTCTGCTTGGATCTGCGACCATCCATTACGCGCTTCGGCTTATTTCAGATCTTGTATAATATATGATATTTTCTTGCAATATAACGAATGTCGAGAACGTTTCCCTTTCGCAATCGAATAGCAGATCTATGCGCTCTCGTGAAACTTGGTGAAAAGATCGTCGCGGCTCCAAGCACGGCTCTCATCTTCAAGTGCTCTCTCGCGCCATCATGCACACCGCGGCAACAAATTGCTGTGTTGCAACAATATTTGTTGCGCCGAAATTGAATTCGAGGGAAAAAACGAGATAGAGCAGACATTTTTTTTCTTTCCTTTTCATTATTCTCTCAGTCTACTGTTAATTTGTTTCTTGTTGACTCATCAGAATGTACCTTCACACACACGTAATTAATCGTTAAACCTTCTCACCGCCCGACATCGAATCGCTTCTACACACGCATGTAACGTTCTTCTGTACCGTCTGTATCTTCACTTCCGCTTATTCTCGACTGTATCCGCCGTCGGGTTTGTACACGGTACGTTGAACTGTTTCGTTGTCACTTTTGCGAATGCTCGTTGTTCACCTCCATTACCCAAGTTTGATTGATTGATCTATGCTTTCTCGCGAACCCCCCACGAGAACTCCAAGACGTACTAACTTAGGACAAATTGTAGACAATTTATTATTAATAAAATGAAAAATAAATCGACATTTGAAACGAAATGGGCAACGTTCCCAGGACATTTGCATTGTATTGATTTGTCATTAAACACGTGTGCGATGAATTTCGATGCGGCGCAGTCACGACCTTTGTAGAATATGAAATGCTGCGCTGGATCACAGGTATGTATAAAAAAGACTATTTATTGATAAATGAGTAAATATTAATAATAATTATTGTATTTGTAACATTATAGGTTTAAATGAACTGTTGATATTTGCACTATGCAAATATTGTCCCAGTCGAGACAGTAGAGTATTAGTTACATTACATCCATGTTATAATTATTATTTCGCACTCAACGTATGTCCATTACATTTACATTGTTGAGTACAAAATTATAATATGATGTAATGTAACTGATGCTTAGTGTCGACCGGGGTGTTATTTGGCATGACGTTTTAACCGATATCTAAATTGCTAGCTATTACAACGCCACGTTATTCTTCCCTAACTAGAGGATTTCTACGTCTCGGTAATAACAGAGAGTGTAATTGCTGGTCAAGGTAATAAGATCATTGTCAGAATAAGAAAATCGGGTCACCGGACGATTATCGCGTTTGTGTACGCAGTCATTAAAAACCGCGGTATTCGTTAGAACCAATCCTATTCGTAAGCCTTTCCTCATTTTTCAGTGATATGGAAATAATTACAAAATATCTGTAAGACAGGTGAAGACGCGAAATACTCTTTGAGCGAGGATACATTTTTAACTTGATATGTAAAATCACGGCGCGGCCGTAATTTCCTTGAGAAATTGCGTATAATTGGATGCTAAATGTTTCATGGTACATTTGCGCAAGACGTCTGCGGCACAGATTACTGCAAATTGCCGTCATTTCCATTATTTCCCTGCTCGGCATACGCGCGACGTTGTTTGCCGAAAACTGGAGCGGCGCTCCATTACGAGAGAAGGCCCTTTATCAAAGAGACTCCTCTGCTTTTCGACACGCATTAGATTCATTTTTACATACAGAATGCCAATTCAAATCTGACGAAGCTTCATAAATTATCTCTCGTGGCCCGCCTCAAGAGGAGAAAACGTATTTCAGAGACGGATCATTCATTCTTCTACCGCTTCCTGTATCCTTTTCACCACGAGTTCGTTTCCCCGACAAGGAACCACGCGCTTTTGTGATAAAGCGCTTGAAAAATCTCCAGCAGCAATTCGATTACTTCCAGAGAAAGGTAAAATATGTTCTCGTCTCTCGTGAATCGTCTTACATCGTAAATCTAAGGTAGATCTATCGCGCGGATATCCCCCGGAGGAGTAATATTTTTCTACGAAAATTCTGGAGAATTATTTTCACCTCAGATCTCATATCGCCGCGTGCAAGAGATAATTGCTCGACCATCACAAAAGAATTTAAAAGTTCAGTATGTCTTTTTGGCATGAAATGCTCTTGTACGAATTTCAATGTGTATTAATCGATTAATGATCTACACTTGCGACCGACAGGGATTGTGCGGGGTTAGTGAACTGCAAATAGATGATCCCCATTATACCGCTCTCTGAAACAGGTATTCCGCCATGGCAGACACGATCAATTCGGATTACAGACAGGTGAACCAGGAAGGAGCCGTTCCCTCTTCTGCGTCGAACGATGAAATAATACGATCGGTATCATTATGCGCGCATTTATTTCCAGTGTCCCGGGCACGTCCAATCCTGGATCGTGATCCATGCGAATGGATCCATTATCTCAACAGCGTGACAAGGCTGTGGGCAGTCTGCTAATGCGGCAAGGGACGGACGTGACGTAATCTGAGGTCACCCACGCACGGCTGCTCCGATGCAGTCTCGGCTCGTGCGGTTTCGGCACACGAAATGCATTAGGGATCGATGATTCCGCTAATATGCGCGAAGAGTATTTCGCCATCGTGACATATTCCAGGCTCGTTTCGATCGCAAAGGACGACTTCGCGGTCGTACAGAGCATATTTTGAAAAACTTGCGGTACATAAAAGTCGCGTTATCGAAATTCTTTTAATGCGATTCGTACGAATATCATGCACAGATCAATAGCTATTTTAATATATTTACAGATGAAACAAATACAAGTATTGTTTCAGAATTTTTACTATATTTCCGTATTATTTTTAGAAAAAATGAAATATCTGCATATTTAATCCATGTAAGGAAAATTCACAAATAAAAGTTGTTTATTCTCTATGTACTTTACGGCGGAAAGGAAAACCATCAATTCCACGAATAAGACTTTATGGTAAACAGTCGTAACCGGAAACTAGCATCTTAGCTAAAAGAGCCTCATAAATGACAATTACGCGATGTAGGCGTATAAATAAAGGGTTCAGGAGACCTTCTCTGGCGTCGTGAGAATTCGCGTACTTTCTCTTACATCCTTTTCATATTAAACCTTTTATCGTAGATCTGAACGTCATTATTTTTCATGTATTATTATTACCTATTAAAGTATAAGGTCGATAAAATATGTTTCAAGCCAATATTCATAATCTTTATCACATAAATAAGTAATTGCCGCATTGTTTTTCAATTTAAAATCTGACTTGTGTAAATCACATCTGTAACCATCTTCGTTTAAGAAGATCAAGGATTCGTGTATGCAACCGGGTGTAGTGAACTTTTAATCTCTACTTGCGCCGCACGCGGGGCTCAATCCTCTCAAATCAGCTTTGACCAAGAAAGAACAGCGATGAAAGAGCATGAGTCGGCGACCGAAGATAAATTGAATGCAGTTTAATTCTTCCGTTCCCGTTGTAAGAACGTAACCCTTCGCATGCTTCAACAACGACACCAAGGATTATACATCAGAAAGATACTCCAGAGAACAAATCTAAACGTCACTTAATCATATCCATCACGTTTATCTTTGACAACCGCATTGTGTGTGCTAAATAATCATTTGTATTCGTATTTGAACAGACGTGAAAAAGCTCATTTATTATAATCAGCAAATAAAAATTACTTGCTGTTATCGCTATTGTTTTTTATCGATTAATAAAACGTGGACTTCTTATAAGACGTTGTGTACCCCGCTATACATTTTTTTGTCGATGTTTCAGAATTTACACGGTAAAATAAAAAACTAAAACGTAGACAAATATAAAAAACGGGCTAACTAAGAACTAGGCGCGGTAATTAAATGATGCGCGAAAGTTTTATTTTTATTACTATTTTACATATCTTCCAACCTTGACTTCGTGCCGACTAAATTTGTCAGACTTGAAACACAGGTCCGGTTGGAGTAGTAAAATCCTTCCCCCCTACCTAATTAAGATACATATAGCATCAAAAATTAAATCAAACCGATTTAATTAGGTGTAGAGGGGGGAATTTTACTACTCCAACCGGACCTGTGTTTCAAGTTTGACAAATTTAGTCGGCGCGAAGTCAAGGTTGGAAGATATGTAAAATAGAGATAAAAATAAAAACTTTTGCGCATTATTTACCGCGCCTGGTTCTTAGTTAGCCCGTTTTTTATATTCGTGCGAATTTCCATTGGAACCTATACTTTGAATTTTAAAACGTAGACACCATACAACGCGCTCGTCGGAGGAAGTAAAGGGGCACGGCTTTCTCTGTACTCTGTGCGATTCATTATTCCGAATGTGTTTTTTTTTGCCTTTACAGGATTAAATTTAATCGCGTGCGATATATAGGTCACGTTTTGTGCAACGCCGTTCATTCGTGTCGCCATGGGTGTGTCGAGGTTCGCATGCGACGCAAACCGGAGCATTACGCACCGTAAACGTAGAATCGCGATGATCTATCCTCTCATCCCCCTCCCGCGCAACGTCATCGTCATCGTCGGTCCAGCTACCCTCGCAGCCCCCTCCCGGTGCTCGTTACTCCTGGGCTCTTCGTATCCGCTCGGATTGAACGAGTACGGCGCGATTACTCTATCTAGTGTTGCCTCCGGAGCACTCTACGGTGAACCCAGCCTCGCCTCATCGAACTGTGCGTCGTTCGACATCGGCGCAGGATACTCGCGGACGCGTTCGCCAGTGTCAATGACCTCGTATCCTGGACGAGGCTATAAGCCAGGACACGATAATCGCGAAGCAATGCTTGAACAGTAGAGCCGACGTTCACCGAGGAGAATTCCCGGATGCCGAGATAAAGAAAAATTTGAGCAGACACTTGAGGAAAGTGTATGAAAATTCGGAGGAAAGAATTCAAATTGTCTCGGCGCGAAATTCGGGAACGAAGGAGAGAATGATCGAAACGTACATTTACGGCGTGAGAGTGACGCATGCCGATTGAACTCGAAGGTGGTGGTCTGATATATACTCGATGAATGGGTGATGATAGATGTATCGGTATCGTTATCGCGGAGTGTGACCTATCGCCAGCGCGTTTCCGCCAGCGCGTCCTCACGTCCGTTAATGCAATATAAGTAAAGTGAAAAAAAAACGCGAGTCAGAGATCGGAACGTAAGAAATCGCGATGAGTCGCGCCGCGAAGTTCTACAAGCTGCTGGCAGTCGTCCTCTGCTACGAAGGTAAAGAATTTCAAAATTTCGGAGAGACCGTTATCGCGCGAAGATCACCTCTTTTGCGTTTACTCGAAATACAGGGACAAAAACATTTTTAGAAAAAAAAAGAACCAATTTCAGTCTAGAGGAACTTAGAATTTCAGACCGTATAACAGCCGCAGACGGCACAATTTGCTGATTGCCATTTAGTGCGAAGCGAAGACGGACTAAATTCGAGACTGTCGCCGAGAGAGTAATTAAATAAGAGAACTTTGTTTATTCGGTCAAATGCAATCGGTCGCCGCCGGCCCTGTTTGTGGCACGGGGGGAGAACAGATAACACAACAACGTATCATTTTGTTAACGCGCTCGATCGTCACGCATAATCCGGCGGAAAATTACGCAATCTCTCCGGAAATTAGTCCCAATGTGTAATATCACTTTACACGCGACGTCTTCTCACAGGGCATTTATCTACAACGTTACGCCGCGCCGCCGCGCCGCCGGATTGCGTAGATCGATATAAAATCGGTCGCGATTTTTTTTTCCCTGAAACGTGACCTTTCATATCGCCGGTTTTTCAGCCTGCAGCTACAGCTTAATGCTGGATGAGGATAAGGAACCGAATTACCTTACTGCCGGGGTGGGAGAATACGCGGTATTTAATTGCGATCTTGACTTTCCGCACGAGACGCCGATTCCATATCTTCTTCAATGGAACCGCGATGTAAGTATAATCCGAAACTCGTAACTTATCATACGACAACCCATGTTTATTCAGCAGAAATATTTTAATATCATTATGAAAAATGCTCGTCTCTCTTTTCCTCCGTCTCTCTTGCATTACTGATCTGAATGACTACCGTCATTAATTATTTATCAAGTTTGTAAATTAATATAATCTAGTAAAAACGATACATATATTCATGAGATAGATGCTATTGAATAATATAACAATGCAAAATAGTACTATATGTTGGGTGATTCAGATAATATTCAACGCCTTGGATTTTACCTTGGATTTTACCTTGGACCAAATGTACACGTATTTATTATGCAAGTATTTATTAAGTAATTGTAAAAGCTACAAGCTACAATGCAGACACGCGATATCCGATATGATATCCGATGCGATGCATTGGCAGGTTTAGAAAAATCAATTTTATCTCAGAATGTAAGACGTATATATTTGACTTTGATATAGAAAAATAGCAATTCTTTTTAATCTTTTGCGCTGGAATAACATGCGTAGCACGTTGATTGATTTGTTTAGAAGGAATTGTGTAGCACGTTGTCAGTTTTGCTACAGTTTTATTTACATTATTACCAAATAAATACGAATTATATAAATAATAAAATAAGTTATTGAGTGATATTTTTCACAATAAACTAAAAACAGCAAGATTTTATGCAGAGCTCGAGGCGACGCGATTCACTTAAACGATGTACGCATATAATGAGATACCGCACGTAACAACGGTAATATGACATGCGATTGACTGATTGACGATTAAAGAGCGTTAAAGCAGGTTGTTAGTCGCCACTTCTAATTCGCATATAGACGTGCTCGCGCGTACTCGTCGTCTTCCTGTGCGAAGACGCGGAGAAAAAAGTATCCAAGGTAGGGTGGGTTATTCGATTTCTTCGAAAATACATCCGATATTCTGCCGACACGACAATCTATCTGGATGTGGATTTCCGTGTCTTCTCGATTTCAGTAGACACATAATACGCGAGAGAAGCTAACAGCATCGAGAATCGTGATAAAAATGACGATATCTTCGCGTATTGGCGAGCTAGAAAAGAACAGAGTTTCGGCCAGTTAAAGGAGAGTAGCGATAGATGCTTAACAATTTATGGAATATTGACGAAACTCTTCGGGGGGAAAAGGTATCGATTCTGGTAAATAGTAAAGTGGCGAAGCGATGAATTTGTCGGAGTGCGAGACCGCGCGCTCTCGCGGATGTCGCCATTCGACGTGGCCGTACGACGGAAACGGATTTTGCACGTGGCTATCGCGGAATCAAGTGGAACTCAGCTCTGATTGGTCTCTGATGCATGCGTATGCAAAACAGGTGCTCCTTCCCTCTTCGTCTGTCCGCCGTGGTAATTGGAGTACGGGACGCAAGGCTGCATTATATTTAGTCACGTTCAGTCTGCGACGAGGGGACCGACCAGTGGGTCACTGTTAATGCATTGTCAGATGATTAGAAGCGATTAACGCCATTTTCCCGCTCCCGTAGACGAGACGTATCCTCCTTTCGAGGATTTTCGGCCCCGCCGTTGATGAATGTAGGTGTTGCTGACCGACGACGGCGCGGGCGGACTAATTAAGACGCCGCATGAGCGATACAACGCGTCCTCGGTCATTACGCCATGATCATCATTAGCGCGCAACCTTGCGCGAATAAAATCGAAATTTAACATTAAACTTCTTCGTTGAATCGCGGGTAGTTTTGTATTCCGCGAAAGGATGACCCAATTAACATAGTTGCAGCCGCTATCAAGTTACGCGGTGTAATTTCCTTGAGACGTAGGTTCGCCTACGTCCGTCGTATGTAAAAATCGGTCATTTAGATAGTCGGATATTCCTTAAGAAAGAGCCGAAAATCAGGTGATTCTTTCTGACGAAGTCATTTATAAATGCTCGCGCAATTTACGAAATCATATGGATTTTGATACTTGAAGACAGCTCAATATAATTTTATTGAGTCTCACTTTTTCCAGAGCCGTTCAGTGTTCACTTGGCACGATGGACAAGTCACGGTGGAACCCACTTACAAAGGCCGCATACATTTGCTGGACGATGCCGGTCATCGCGGATACGGCCAGGGTAGCATAAACCTCACGAATATTCGCGAAAGCGACCAAGGCTGGTACGAGTGCAAGGTGATCTTTCCTAACCGAACGCCGAATTCGAGAAACAATGGCACGTGGTTTCACCTCGCCATTGATGGTAAGTTGTGGTCGCTTGCAAGCCTTTACATTTGCATGCGAATCTTTAAAAATTGCAGCAGAAAAAGAAAACAGATAAAACAGCAGACATTTACTGACGACTAATTTTATGGACTAATTATCGCAAAATTTTCTTTGGAGTGCAAAATGCAATCATTAGCATGTAAATACCAATAATCTATTAATATTATTAAAGCAATTAGTGATGAGATTAAGTATTTTACAAATAGGTTCGAATCTGTTGGCGTAGTTTCGAACTCTTGATCTATGATTACTTCAAAAAATAAAACCAATACACTTCAAGTATACTCAAACTTGAATGAAATGGGTTCGAACTTTCTATGAGTACCTCGAAAAACAAGAGTGTTACTTCCAAATAGACTCGATCCTGGATCAAATACGTTCAAACCTTTTATGAGTTACCTTTACTAGAAATTTAATATCTGAAGCAAATTGTGTGTGTGTATATGTATGCACACAAATATCTCTTTATTACAATTTTACATTATAACATATTCGAATATTATTTGTAACAGATTCGATTCTTTACGATAGAAATTGTTAATAAGTACATTTTGAATCCTGCAGGCACTCATTCTAAAATTCAAAATTAACTAATCGGAATTCGATTACTTCGTACAATGTATAAAATATTATTTCTTATGAATATTACTCGAATCCAAGGAAATAAAACTTGATTATTGGATTTGAATCGGATGTTTAAATGCATACTCAGCAAACACAGAATACACAGTAAAAAATAAAATGTTAATTGTAACATTTTTCGAATGTCCCAGAAAGTCCACTCTAAATTTTAAGTTAAAACAACTCATTCATCGTATGTTACTTGTTGACAAATTAGAAATGTTAATTTATTGACACTATATTTTACATTTATATTTGTTCTTTTAACTTTAAGTATAATGTAAAAATAACTTGTAAAAAATGTCGATATAACATATTTGAATAAACGATAGTTATTTTAACTTAAGAGAAATGTTGTTTTGAACATTTGATTGTAGTAAATTTGATTATTTTGTATGTCAAAGTTTATGATTATTTGAAGATTTACTTTAACTTTTGTTTATGTTAAAATAACTTTAAGGCGTGTTGATTTTTTGAAATAATTATGTTAAAAGAACTCAAAATAATATTCAATTTCTAAATGACATACATAAAGTGTTAAGTTATCACGTTGACATTAATATAACACATAAAAATGTTACGAAAATAATAACATAGCTGTTGTATGTTAATTTTACATTGAAATAATAGTCAAATCTTGGTAACGCAAGAAAATTTTAACATTTGGACGCACGATTTTTTACTGTGTACACCGAGTGCGCAATTTGATAACAAATTGTCGCCAAGATGGCATCAAATTTCGAATCAAATTGCGCACTCGGTGTATTCTGTGTTTGCTGATTGAACTTGATCTCATCCCTAAAAGCAATATATCTAATAAAAATGCAATACAGGAACGTATTAACAGACTTTAATAAGACTAACCAAGATTGAATATTAAACTAGGTCAGCTCAACGGATAAGCTAACCGGGCTTATAGCTGTGAAATTCGCGCTCTAATTTTTTGGCAAGAAGGATGTGAGTCTTCAAACTTAATCGCTCATTTAAGCATCTCCGACGTTCATAACTCTAAAGGCAGGGGAGCCTATCTTGATCAAAGGGTCTTGGTTCTCCTTTCTCACTTGACCTCGTGGGGTTTATTGCACGCAGCGATATTCAGATAAAGTAGTTCTTTGAATTATTATAATTAATCGAATATAGAAGAAAGAAAATATTGTACGAAAATTCCTTCAATCCCGTCGAAATTGAACTCCGGACTCATCGACTACGAAGTCGAATCACTTTCATACAGAGCTACTATCCCAAAATATAAGATAAACGCGATAACTAGTTTCTTCCGATTGTAATTGTATAATACAGTAGATTGTATAAAAATTCAAGAAAATATTGTAAAAAAAATAGAATTTAAAACGTTTTAACAGCTAGATAAGTTATGAGAATTTTGATCGATTATTAGGAGAAAAAATGTATTATTGGGATTTACTATAAAAGCTGTATTGACCATATACGTATCATTTAAACTTAAATCTGTAGATTGTGCTATGCCCCCAATTGGGGAAAACCCTATTTCATTCATTAGCTCTGACGAAATTTCTCATTTTACATTAAACTCTATTACTTGACATGAAAGAAGACTGAGTCACTCGACTAACAGCTTGTTTATCTTGATTCATCGCGAAATCAGTTATTCTTAATTGTGCTCAAATAAATTCAAGGTTTCATTAAAAATTAAACAGTTTCTACAAATATCGCTACAAGACAAAATTATACATTTAAATTACACACTGGATTTGGAAATGTCATGCGTTGATATGGAGCTTATGGTAATAGTACATTATTAACCGATGCTAGTGGGTTTGTCTTAACACGTATAAAAAATGCAGAATTAAGAAATTTGCAAAAAAAAATGCAAATTGGTTGGTTTCGTGCTGTTAATGCTGATACAAAAGCAGTCGACAGTAATTAATAATGAAAAGAATAGGGGAGACCGGGGCTATATGTCCACACTTTAAGCTTTTTTCAAGTTTACTAAAAAACTAATAAAGATAATTGGCTAAAATTTTAATAGTATCAATCTTGCTATTAAAAAGAAACATAATTAAAATCGTTAATCTTTTAACATTTTAAAGAGGCGAATTTTTTAAGTGGGCAAGTCAACCGTAGACAGATAGCCCCATATGCGGGGCTATCTGTCCACATAATAAAAAACACATTATTTATATTAATATTTAGACTAATATTTATATAATATTATTTATTATTAATATATAATATTGAAAAAACTGCCTAGTCGTTGGAGTCAGAGCAGTAGTAGGCACTTTGTGTAGATTTTTTAACAGGATTCCTGCATAGAGCTGACTTTTCTTTATATACGGTGGCATTAAACTGATTTTGAGTTCGTTGCAAAATCAATGTGATGAGTTTCTTTTGTCCCCACAATTCTTTAATTTTTTTTTGTATTTGGAGCCTTTACTTTATCCTCGGCAGCGAAATAAAAAATACTCAATAATTTAAGACAAACTCATGTATTTAACTTGACGTGTATTTTTAAAATAAAAATTTAGTGACGATTCTTGAATCGCAGGATCAAGTAATTGCTCGTAGGTCACTTTTTTGCAGTAGCGAATGAGAGCCCGACCATTTATTCCAAAGTCTAACGCTGATCTTTTCACGAAAAGATTCTTGCTAAATTTTTATTCTTTTAATCGCTCTAAGTATAATTTTACTAGATATGTATACCTTATCCGTCTTAAGGAAAGTCCTTCTTTTGTAGTTACGCAGCATTATCTATTAATAAAAGAACAATCCGTCATTAAAGTGTGGACACATTGCCCCATCAAAAATAGGACAGATAGCCCCGACCACGTTTTTCAGTCTTTAACGTGTTGCCAATTTTAGATTATGCGAAATTAAGATTTGACGCTTCTCACACTTGATAACTATATATTATAATTGATAATATTATGATTTGCTTACTTTAATTTGAGTTAAACTATTGTCGCACAGTTTTTCGACCGTCGAAAAATGTGAATAATTGTTTTCGCTTTTCTTTTAACATAGCGTCTGCGAGAGGCATCGCAAAAAATAAACAACATTTAAATCTCTTACATAGGGCATTTTTTAAATACTTGTTACAATGGTAGAGACATATGTCTCTTAAAATTTGAGATAGCAGTACTGTGGACACATAGTCCCCGTAGACGGATAGCCCCGGTCTCCCCTATATTATAACCCCGCTGCTGCTTACTAACCTGAATCCGGGCAGACTCGTTAAATCGTTTAACCTAGGTGTGTCGCCGTTTCCGACAACTGTTTCAGGTGATACGTTACTTGCAATACCACCTGTCAATAAAACTGCCATGGAAGGCGAAACGGTCTCGTTCGACTGTGTCGCGAAAGGAGAAGGTACAATCGTAAATTGGTTTCGTGAAGGAGTACCGATCCCGGAAATACAAGTACGAATTGAGTTTTTTGCGTTTCTGATTTTATAATGAATCATTTTCGACGTGTCACATAATTTATCGACACTTCGACATTCGTAAATGTATTATTGTGACAGGATCTCAAAAGAAGAGCGTCTACTGGTGCTGATGGAACGCTGGTCATAAAGTCAGCTGCCATGGGCGACCTTGGGGAGTACACGTGCGTGGTGACTGGAGAGACTGGAGATCAACAAAGTGCATCAGCTTTTCTCAATGTTCAATGTAAGCACAGCAGCGCGTGCAATACTATGCATTAAATTTACGTATGATACCATTAAATTTACATCTCTAACGAAAATAATATTAATAATCTATTTTTTTTTCATTTAGATAAGGCGAAAGTAATCTATGCACAGCGGGAAGTCTACCTTCCCTACGGGAAACCAGCCCTCTTGGACTGCCACTTCAGGGCGAATCCGCCACTTACAAATCTCCGTTGGGAGAAGGATGGATTTCTCTTTGATCCTTACAATGTGCAAGGGGTCTTCTATAGGAGGAACGGATCTCTTTACTTTAGTAAAGTCGACGAGACGCACTCGGGAAGTTACAGTTGCACTCCCTACAATGAACTAGGCACCGAAGGGCCTAGCCCTTCGATTACTGTGGTGAGTATTCATCGTCACTGCTTGATGTAGAGAACATGGATTGAATGAGCATGAAAAAGAGATCGATCGACATTAATGCTAACATTGAGAACTGATTAAACTGATTGATTAAACTGTCCGCGACAAGTTAATAACTTTTTTATTCTTCAATTGTAAACCACAGTTTTTTAGAACGAAAGAACTAAGATTTCCTCTTAATGGAGCACGTTAGTTTCTCTGTGTGATTTACAATCAGAGAATAAAAAAAGCGATGAGCACACTTTGTAGTAGACTGGTCAATGTTTTCAAAACAAATCACCGACTGTGTGTGAGATACTCAATACTATTAATTATTACAGATAGTTCAAAGGCCACCGATGTTCACGGTAACACCGCAACACATGTATATGCGAAAGCTAGGCGAGAGTTTGGAAATTCCTTGCGACGCCAGAGACGGCGACGACTCGCATCGACCAACTATCATGTGGTACAAGGTATCCTATTTGTCAATCGCATTAATTATGCGTTATATGGTAAACCAAAAATGATAGAGTATTGCGCCAATATTGATTAATAATGACAAAGAGTTTTATTACGACTCAATTGGCAAATATATAAATACACAAACGCTACGACGTTTCGATCCTTGGTTTGAATCCTTATCAAGCAATCTACTACTACAACTTGAATCCCCTATTTATTTGCCATTTGCAATTTATATATTTGCCAATTGAGTCGTACTAAAACTCTTTATCATTGTTATATGGTAAATTTAATTAGTAATAAAATGGACAACTTTCTTCGACGAAAGGACGGGTCGCCCTTATCGCCCGAGAGAACCATCATAATCGGCGGCAATTTGACGATAGAGAGGATCCAAGAACACGATCGAGGAGTGTACCAATGCGCAGCTAGCAACGAAGCAGCGACGGTCGTCGCGGACACTGAGTTAATGGTGCTGAATGTTCCACCTAGAGCGCCGTACAACTTAAGCGCTAATAGTAGCAATAACGCGGTTACTTTGACTTGGATACCTGGATACGTGAGGCCCAAGATGGAGTACTCAGTATGGTAACATCGCATATGTAATTAACTGTCGCATAATTAAATATGCGTATCTCGCATATATATGTAATTAACTGTTTATGACGCTTATTCGCCGAAGCACCCAATTCTCGAAATTGTCGCGTTTGCTATAAGAATTTTTCATAATTAATTAAGATGAAGCGTATTTTTGATGTAGGTACAGACCCACGGACACGTCGGAATGGAGAACCATGAAAATTCTTTCGAGAAAAATTACGGAAGCGACGGTCAACAATCTTAACGCAGGACGGGAATACGAGTTCATGGTTTTGAGTCAGGATAAACACGGCGATGGGATGTTTAGCAAGGCGCTTCGAATATTCACTCAGCCGAGTAAGATTAATAGTCTGTCACCTCTGTCACGTTTAAGCGTGATGGTGAAATGAAGTAATAAATAATTTATGTTTCCAGCTTCTGTTGATGAGAACTCGGCGTCGGAATACCGTAGTCCGCAAGGTGGGTAAAAGAAATTTAACGACGGACTTTATGTATAGTAAAGCAAAACGCAATTTCTCTCAACGGTCTCTGTACATCGTGTATCTCTTGATAATTATAATTTAATTGAGTGTTTCAAGGCTGTGACACGATTCTGTTTCAGAGATCGAGATCATGGGACCGCCGCGCAACGTGAGAGTTCAAGCAACGGTCGAGGGTTACTTGGTCACTTGGGAACCACCTTTTATGGGCAAGAACCAAGTTAGACTTTACACCGTGAGGTGGTATAGAGGACCATCCGAACATTTGTACGGCAGAGCAGAAACGACAGACACTTATTATCTAGGTAAGCGACTCTTCATCATCATTGCGTAATATAATTATCAATAACTATCGTTAACATTTAAATTGATAATGATAATAATAATTGATATCTACGCTTGATACGATTTCAGTGAAAACTCTGGAGGAAGAGAGCTTCTATACCTTCGAAGTGGCAGCGATGTCTCTTACGGACGACGTTGCAACCAGCGAACGAGTCGGTTTGGAAGTACCCGCTTACCGTCGTAACCGAGCGATTTCCATGGGAATTGTCGCTGGTATAGGTTTTCTAGCGGCCGCACTGGCCGCCGTGTGGTGGGCGAGGAAACGATTCTGCCAGCCGTCTGCCGAGAAGTAGCCGAGCAAACACGTGGGATGCACGTGTGCGTACTCACAAACAAAATAGTTGTTCGTGCGAGTTCGTAATCGATTATAAATATTCATGTCGCTCGCTACGTGCGATCATCAGCGAATGAAGTCGGCTTAGAAAAAAAAGCATGTGTCATCTCTGAAGGCACAATTCCGCAGACGAACTTTTTTTGAAGAGTCAAAGACCTTTTCAGCCCTCACTGACATGGCACAAAAGAACATAAAACAAGAAACAGAGTAATATCTAGTATTATATAGACATATGCGGTGACGGCGAGGAGCGCAGAGACTCTTGGAACGTCCGTTCCAAGCCGATCCTATTTGCCGAGCTGCCGAGCGTTACTACCGAGTGTTCTTGCATCGCTAATTATATCATACTTTGTGTGCCGTTTAACAGCTTTATTAAGTAATTGCACGTTAACAAGTGACTAGATTTCATGCGCGAGAGCTGCAGGTCGTCGACCGGTCGAATGCGAGACCGTGAATTAAAGAGAATTGCATATTATCACGTGTATTCTTTTTCTATTGTATATAAATTATGCCCGCGCGTGCATACATACGTTTTTCACGTATTCTCCATTATTACTCTTACTGATTTTATTCGACGCGTTCATTGTCGTATATGCTTGTACCATCGCAAAAATTGCATATAATAAAAAGAGTGGGAAGCAGCATGTTCTTATGTCAGTCACCTAACAACATCATCGTTTCGCGAATATTACATCTTTCGTATTTATAGATATATCTTTTGCAAATAAACCAAATCGGAAACTTTACTTCGCCAGTAAATAATTAACAATAAAGTTTTTTTTATTTAACCTAACTGACTATCTTCATTAATTATAATTCAAATAGTCGAAACGTCACGACGATTACTAAAAATATAGCTAGTTAGGTCAAATAAAAAAATCTTTATTATTGCTTTAAATTTTTATTATAATACGTATCCAAATCGTTTTCCAGATCGTAGGCAAAGAATTCATATCGTATATGGAGAGATAAAAGTTAAAATAAACAGCCACTGATAACACTTTATCAAAAATGATTTAGCAAAATGTATATTATATTATATTATTAATCGCTTAAAGTTCTCAGTTAGACTCGATTAAATGCCTATATGTCTATTATTTCCCTTTGAGTTTATATATATTGTAGATTTATGGAAATACTAAAAATATATATATAGAGAATTGCTGAGATATATTTGAGCGTAATCGCAACTTCGTGTTATATTCCTCGTTAACAACTTATTTTCGGAAAACGTAGAAAATATATTTACAATCGCCCACGCTTACCTCACTATCGCTTTATTGTTTATTGGATCGTGATGACATAACTGGCATTGTTTACACCACGTGTAAATTCACTACCATCATTGCATTGACACCAAAGGCGCGCGAATTGTTTAGACATAAAATCTGGTAAATTGGCTTGCGGTCGATGCAGGTCTAAGATATCGTTGCACGAGCATGATGAAATACCGGGTGCTCTTGCCAGCAAGCGAACGAGCGAACGTTGACGGGCTTCGTAAGTAGTCCAGCTGATATCCGGTGATCCACGAGGAAAACGATGTTTCTTAGCGCTTGGCGTCGCGCCCGCCGAAAGATAACGACTTCTTCCAGCGGCGAATCGCTGGAAAGGCGCCGTTTACTATATCTCAACATCTCGGGTACTCGCAACCCGTCGCGTCGCGTAAAAGAGTCACGGTCGGTCTCGCTCCGCGTGTACTTGGCGCGAGACACTACCGTGTCTCTTGATATGATAAAAATACGGAGCTCAAATGGATGCTACGAAAGTTGCATGTGCGCGCAGTTATCGAGGACGTAAAGTCGTGAACTGCAAGACCGAAACGATACCTGTCCTCGGAAGACATTTAAAATTATCGCGACAAATCCGTCGACTGCGGTTGCGTACCCTTTCATTTTGAGAGCGTACAATTAGTCAAATGGTCACGCTCTGTTGCGGATCCAGGCATTGGCATTGGCCTTGGCAATATCGCGTTCATGCACACAATCATATAATTATTTTTTAATTCTCTGCTGTTCTTTAAAGATAAATTTTTTTTCACTTCCTGGCATATAAGCTGAAATTAATAAAAATTGATTGATATTGATAAAGATGAATTTTTCTAATAAACTTTTGCACATCTGCAATATACAGGTCGCAAAGAGCAGACATGCAAAAACTCGTTGATCTCATCGCAAAAACAAGTTGTCATTTAATGTGTGCTTAGCATTTTTGTTCCCGTTACTTGGATTTATCAGTTTTACAGTGTCAATATGCAATATATATTGCATATATTTTTCAATATATTGCATAAAATGTACCGTTATATGCAACCTATTTCTCAAAATATACAATACATTGCGTAAAATATGCCGTTTTAAAAAAATTTCAATGTTTGTTACACTTGAAACTAAGATTAATTGTAACGTAACATCTTATTTTCTATGAGCAACAACGTTAGCGTGATAAATTTTACCAGTTAAATTATAACTCTTTTAAGCATATAATACAACAATCACAGATCCGATCATTCCTTTTAGACTAATACTCCCTTGACCCTCTAAGAAATAAATTTTCCGAGGGCAATTGATTAAATTAAAGCCGATGAAAATTATGACGCTCGGAGGTAATGTCCTATTGAATCTAAATGAAGCTAATAGGCATTACATTCAAGTTGTCAGCGTAACGATCGATAAATAGCATGACATAATGTATAATGTATCTATGTGTTAAACTATACTGAAAAGATACTGAACTGTTATTTTCCTTGGGAGCGTAATTTGGACTCAGCATCATATATACTAAATATATCTCCAATTATCGCTCAATTTATCACTAACAATAGTCTGGACGTTTAAAGCTTCTAATAATTGATGATTAAAATACCATTGACATTGACTGCTTGACTGATTAGTATAAAAAAGTATCGTATCACGCTATAAATAACGGTCGAAATATGTAGCAACACGTGAAATTAATCAAGTGTTTGAAAACAATTACAAAAATTTGTGTGAAAGCTTATTGTCTTCTAAATATTCTGTTTTTATATTAAAATAGTATACAGATTAAAAGCATGCAGATATGCAAAAACTCATTTTGTGAACTACCTTCATCTGTCCGCTTTTTTCGAAACATTTAAAATTTATTTTGCCTTCTTCAAAATATTTTAAAATTCAGTTTCACAATTAATTAATATACGAGTGATTTGACATTAATCTAAAAAATATTAATAAAAAATTTCACTTTTAACAACGGGCTCGTTGGAACATTAAATTTGCTCCCATCGGTCGCTTTTCAAATAGGTTTTTTAATCTTCTCAACGCTTACACGCAACTGGTTTTCAAGCCGAATTTCTTTGACGACACCGTTATCGGTCATGACGTCATCGCTAGTTTCATATGAGCGTTACAAAAATTAGTGAATTGTTCTCGTCTGGCCCGACTGCAGCCGGACCGACCTGATTATTTTTGCGGAGGCAATAAACGTCTTTAGGTCGCCGATCGAAATTTAAAGGTTAATCAACGAGACGAGATAAGATGGAAGGAAAGGGGTCTTCGTACGCGCCGATAAACAGCGCGATATGATATGTAACAAGGGTTGAAGGAGAGGTGGTTGCACTTCAGAGGCTTGCTACCTGCCGAGGGTGCGATGATTCTTATACAGGTTGCGTATCGGCAGTCTTGGATTCGCCGTGTCGATGGATCAGCGTGAATCTGCAGACGCTGCATCTGCTGCGCTATACTTATTTGTCTCCACAAACGACTGGGAGACCTAACCGGTAAAACGTGTACCACCTCGTAAAATTATATCTAATGATATCGCAATCTATATAAGAAAAATCTATATATCAAAAAATAGGCTTAAATAAAGACAATGAAAAGATAGCTAGACAGCGATTCTACGGCCGATGGTGAAAGAAAAGTAAATAAGAAAAAAAGATTACGCGTCGTTTGATAATGCTTCTTAAACTTCTTAAAGCGTTTACGCGTTAGACTTCGGCTTCATCTCTCCATACGGTATCTAAAAAAAAGGAGGTCAAGACTATAAACCCCGATAGCACCAATATCCTATAAATATTCATATAACGTCCATGGGCATTCTGGACATAAAATGGACATCCATAGGATATTGTGTGCTGTCTGGGAAGATCGAAAACCGGGCGGGAATGTCTTGGCTGCAAGTGAGTCTGAAAGTGATTACTTAGAGATATTGAGAAGCATGTCCATGGGCAGCCATGGGCGTGTCGGGAGACAATAAATAAATTTCGAGGATAAAAAATCTCTTTGATATATTACATCAGAGCGGTATGTATTCTTTCTATTAGAAGACGTCCTCCAGACGTACGACCTGTATAACTACTCTGCTTTAATTGCCTAACAAAGGCACAAGGATAATTTCTGCTCACGTTCAATTAAATTGTTAATCACAAAATTCATTCATTATTCTTGACTATTAAGTAATTGGTAGTTCCTTTTTAAAATGCACATGTTTTTCCATGATACTGCGATAATACAAGGATATCGACCTGAGTGTGTGTGTTGTGATTTGCGTATCTTCCTACATTAAACAGGTTTTTGTATATAACTAATTTATTGTTGGATGACTATCTTCAACCTGTGAGTTCTAATCATAGATGAGGAAGTGTCGATAAACGGTGCGTACAAACTGCAAAATCGGATTACTTCCATTCGATAAACCACTGACGCGGTTCGACCATGCGACGATAATTTATTCACGTTTATGTAATCATATTTATGCATTGCGATGTAAGAACGAAGGCCAACAACAGTTTGTCTTCGAAGGCCTACCAATAGGGCCTTCCTTCTTATTGGGCTATTCATCATTTTTAAATTTATTGGGCACCTAGTTATAACAGGTCGAGAGTTTCATATTCCTAATGCAAAACCAGTAGTCTACTTGCATATGCAAATCGTACGTTTTGTTCTGTGAAATTTTATTCTGGTTGGCAGATGTCCTCTATTTTTATGTACGTGCATTTGTCTTGAGACGTGAACGCAACCAACACGAAATATGCACTCTCAGAAAAGAATTCTAGATACAATACTATTAGGATCGAAATAGGGCCAATCATATTTAGTATTGAAAGAAGAATATTTTAATCTTAAATAAAGGAATTCTTAAATTAGACTTCTAGAAAAAAGAATATTTTAATCTTAAATAGAGATATTCTTAAATCTAGAATAAAATAATCTTGATGCTATCCCTCTAATTTTCTCAGAATTATTCTAGATTCAAGAATTCCTCTATTTAAGATTAAAATATTCTTCTTTTAATACTAAATATGATTGGCCTTATTTCGATCCTAATAGTATTGTATCTAGAATTCTTTTCTGAGAGTGTGTGACTAATAACACATACTCAGCGGACAAGCGAAAAGTTCAATTTAACACCATTACAGGCTTAATTGATAGGAATGAAGTATGCCACAAAAGTGTGCAAAGAAATTTAACACACATTCCTGACAATTAAACATTTGCCGCAATATAGTCTAAAAATTTCGTAATTTTAATTATTTCTTGTATATATAGGGGAGACCAAAGCGAAGTCGGCCCCGGGGCAAAGTCGTTTTTGCAGTTATCTCGAAATCTGTATGTTGTGTGAACTCGCCATTAATACTGTAAGCGCGGTTTATGGTGCCCACGTGACCAACGGAGTCAAGAAAGCTAAATAATATGTACTGCGTATGCTCGGAGATAATAGAAAACAAAGCCGACAAAAAACAGTACATTTCGTGCAGGCGTAAGGCACACAACGAGTGCGTGCGCTTGTCAGACTCTGTTTTTACATGCTTTAACTGTTAGCGAAAAAGAAAATTGATTTTCTTGAAATTATTTTCCGCTTTCCATTTTTCTATTAAAAAACAATAAATAAAGTGTATTCTATTATTTTTTATGCTCAAAATTATGAATCTTTATTTAAAATCCAGTCCGAGAATGAAGACACGACTCCGCCCCGGGAATTTTGACTTCTCGATTTTTGCACCTTTGTCGCTTTTACTCTATACCGGTTGAACAAAGCAATGTAGACCAAAAATGCCTATATAAATTTTGTAGCCAAGGGTTTACTCTTTACATTGGTATACTATATTTCACTAAAATGATTTATTTTGTTGTTAAAAATCGACACCAAAAAAAGGGCCGACTTCGCCCCGGTCTTCTTCTATTGTATTATACTCTAAAGATATACAGCATGATAATTTTCTATATTTTAATGTAGAAAAACAATGAATTTATAAAATATTGTAACGTATAATGTGTTTAAACATACGATACGTTACAAAAATTACTAGAACACTGTTAAACTCGCTTCCTTTTAAAGCATACATAATTTTGTATATATTAAATAATTGTGCAATAAATAGAAATAAAAAGACAGAGTAAAAAAGAAAAATATTAAATTTATAATTTATATACTTTTTATAAATACATAATTTATATGCCCTCTATATATCTCTCTATAAAAATAATTTTTGTGATAATATTTCTATAATTCATAAATTTTTTATAATAAAAACAAGTTTATTATAAATATGCAAACTTATATATCTATAAATATTACGTTCCTTTCCAATATGACTATCGTAATAATTTTAAAAATTTTTACAATAAATCACGTTTTTTATTATGTTAATCAAGTAAATAATTATATAATTATTTATTTATAAATTATTTCACGTACATATGTATATGTACCTATATGCTCATTTAGATTAGATCAGTAAATTAAATTTTGAAAAAATGTACACTTGCGTCATGTGACTGATTTTCTATAATATTGCGAAACAGTTTTGCGAAAATATTTTTTCTTTTTGCAAATATTATTTGTACGGACAATAACTACTTCACGATGAGTCGCGAAGATGAAGAGTTTGTAGAGCAGATAAACCCAGTCGCAACAAAAGAATTTAACCCATTCCGTGTGTTATTGATGACGTTGAATTTCTCGTTCAAGCTGTTTTATATTTTGGCTAAAAATAGAATTATTACGTCATTTTAGTAGTAAAGTTCTTTAAGTAGTAAATTACTGAAAGAAAATGTTCAAACAAGAATTTTAATTTTTTTACTCTACAAGGCACTTCGTTAAGCTTTAACGTTAAGTTGTAAGAATGTTCAACTTTTATAATCTTATAAATGTGTATATGAGACATGCGCGATATTGAAATATGTAAAAAGTAAATGTGTATAAACACAACATGATCACACTAGCGGCCCACGTGGTCCGAGTGCTAAGCTGTGTATATGTGACGGAGTAAGGAACGTTTCAAGTCGACAGAAGGCCAAAGTCTTATTCTCACGTGGTCGCGTTTAATCTACGCAGCGGTCAATTTGTTGGGCTGCTAGCAACGAGGGGGACCTGGAGTACTGTCTGAAAGGGAACAAGGCGCGGTCGCCAGCCGCCAGCCGCCAGGGCGCAAGGGACAGAGATGGTCGGAGAAAAATCCTCCCTACGTGGAGGGGATAACAGACTTAGATACTGCCTGTTGATTCACAGTGCTCGTCAGTAATAAACGCGTCGTATGGCGAACCGGATCACAGAAAGACGCGCGTGCAGTGTCAGAGTTCTTAAGTTCAACGTATGCCATCATCTTTCTCTCTTATATCTAGAATTAATGCCAACGTCGTTGAAAGAAGACGCTGTAACTTCGGCAGCTTATTGAATAGTAAGTTTCTGCATTAAGAGATATAGGTCTTAAAGAAAAACATCTCGGTTTTGAAATCGCTGTACAATAATGTGTTAATGTAGTGTAATTATAAAATAGATATTTCAACAAAAATTGCATAGATCGTAATTAAGTAATATTATTTATTTGCATATTTTTGTTTACGTTACTGTAGCATACAAACGTTATTGGAAAACTAATTTACATCAAGAAGTAAGTACGCGATCAGAAATATAATTTGGAATTATATATAATTAGCGATTTACATTAAAAACATTAACATTAATTTCATAAAGATTTATTTATTGAGAGTACAGACAGCTACACATTAATTGAAATGTTTTGAACTTTGCTTAGATCTGAACAGTATATAAGAGTACATATAATCGTCAGTTAGAGGTTAACAAACATTGGAAATAGTGACTGCGTTTTGCCGAACCTCTGCTTAGCTAAGCGCAAAGTAGCAATTAAGTATAATTGGTTGGATCCAAAGGTAAGAACCAATCACATTCAATTGCCACTTTGCGCTTTGCTAAGCAGAGGTTCGGCAAATGCAGCCAGTGACTCACGACGGTTAATTTTCAAAATAGCCAATTTCTATTCGTTTTCTGAAAAGTTAACCGTCGGTTAGAGGTTAACAGACGTTCGCGTTGGGAATAGTGATCCTAACATGCATATTTTATTTACATAGCGTTCCATTATTTAGATAACGGAAAGCTAATATATCAAAAGATGAGCGATTAGGAATATAATTTGGATTCATATATAAATTGCGATTCATAGAAATATTAACGTTCTTGCAAAACTAATATGTGATGTAAGTATTAACATGAAAAAATAAATTATGAGATAACCTTGCGTGATTATACACGCAACATTTAAAAAAAAATGATACAGTGCGATAAGACTTGCGTATTGCAAGTATAATATATTTGTTATAATTTCTCTTCTTAATAATTAATTGGTTATATCGCTGGTATACACATCAAAACTATAATTTTGCAATTTTATCTACAGTTAATACATATTACTCACACAATTAGATATTACATTTTGAGATAAGAATATTCAAGTCATTACAAAGTAATAATCAAACAAAAATAATTTTGTGATTTACAATAGTTTTTTTTACTTAAAACTTAATGCGTTATCATACGTAGATATTGCCACAATTTAATAATTTGTTTAATAATACGTACTGAGTTATTAATTATTTTCTGAATTGTATAAATCATATCTAATACCGCTGTGAATAGATCATTACACGATTCAATCGAAATTGATTTGAAACAAAGAAAGTCAGTCTGTAATTTTCCATTGAGTATTTTTCCGTAGATTTCTTGATAAGCTATAAGTAGCTTAATAAGCTTAATATGACGTGTTAATAAGCTTAATAAGCTTTATGTCAAATTAGTTTATTGTATACTGTTATAATAAATAATAGAAATAACTTACCAGCACGCAATGTTACGCGTTACTGAAATCAATGATAAACAACTTTTTTATATGATTACGCATAACGTGATTAAATGTATTTTTTGTTCGCTAATAACATCTCATATCTAATTTACATTTAAAATGACAAAATAAATTTTCTATATCACGATTTAGCTTCTTGTATTGATTATAATTCCTTTACGCTCGCAGGCTTACGCGGATTTCGATTTATTCTGCAATTATTGTTAATTACAAGTGCTCAATGACGATGACGTAAAAGCTTTACTATTATATAAAAGGATCAATGCGTAAATAGAGAATAAATCGTATTCAATATTCCATAGGCTCACTAATGACGAATGTGTTATGTATACTAGGTACTGAGTACAATGTGGAATCAAAGTTCCATGTAAATAAGCGTTCAATACATTCTTTTGATATTCATACTGAGAATGTCTAATCAAATATTTATCTCTTATTTGCAAATACAAATCTTCTTCTTCTCTCTTTCTCTACACTGAGAGAATGAATATTCTTGATTTGAAAATATCTTTAATTTTAACGTGGAAATCTTGAGGTGAGAGATTATATTGCGTTAAAGGAAAACTTGGTTGAATAAAATCGTTATATAGTTCAACTAAGAAAAAAAAATCATGAAATAAAACGTCGAAATTCTTATAAGAAGATTATAGTGATCTTGCTTATATAAGAAACAATCTATATCTTCTTATAAAAATTACAACTTTTTATTTTAACTTTTCTTTCTTAGTTGAACTATATATAATTAATAGGATAATAATAATACTGAACTGGCTGCACTAGTTCAGAGTTTATCTTTTTTCTTTCAATGTGGAGTAAAAAATATAAACTCTGAACTAGTGCAGCCAGTTCAATAACAGAAAACAGACCCATAGACTTCATTCAAATTCAACCAAGTTTTCTTCAAGCAAGTTTAACGCAAAATAATCTCTAATTTCAAGATTTCCACGTTGAAACTAAAGATATTTTCAAATTAAGAATATTTTTTCTCTCTGTGTAGCAATTTTTTTTAAATATAGTTCATACAGAGAGAGCTCTAGTTTTTTTTGTTGGAACAGTAAATTAACATACTTAAATTGATAATCGATTTAACTTTTCGATGCTAATAAGTATCTCACTTTAATCACTGTAAATAATTTATTGCGAAAAAGTAATTATAAATCTCGAATCTATAGTACACTTTTTTCGTCTGAAGCTGCGTTGGACAACGGTCGTTTCATTCGGCGTTATATTTTGTCTTCTTGCTCCGTTCTTTCAAAGTCTGTGTTGGGACGCTCACAAGCCTATCTGCCTATCTGGCATGCTAGTCGACACACATGTGAACCTGAACGTGTCTATTCGTGTCGACGACGCCTACGCATTCCTAGTCGACTCGAAAACTCTATTGGCTGAAAGAAACGCACTACGTACACGCAACAAGGCGCACCGTACATACGCGCACACTTACATATATGCGCGCGGCTACGACGTAAACTCGTCGTTGACTGGTGTAGATTAGATACGTTTTATCTTGCAGACTCTAAAGCGCGAAAGACTGACTAGAGACACGAAGGAGTGAGAGAAGGGATTAACGAAAAGGCCGTACGCTCGAGTTCAGAGTGCACATGCTGAAGAGAGGAGGATCGGTGCACGCGGAGATACAAGCGTCACTATGAGGCCGTGGATGAGCAAGTCGCTTAGCTTTGGAATTTTAGGGCTCTTTCTGGTGGCCCTCGGCAACTCCCTCTGCTTCCTATGGCCGACAATTTTTGATCAGATTCTTCGAAAAGTGAGTGGACGATGATTATTAAAATTAATTCGCGACAACATGTTTACGTATGCTTCAAATTATGGATCAAATTTAGATCAGTTTGAGGATCTGCTTTAACTACTGTCTTTTGATAAGTCGAACTCAAAACGGATTTGTGCGGATTTGTATAAGGAATATTGACATTTTAACAATCTAATCTTGCTTATCTCAGCGGCACGATACGTGGGCATCTTGTCCATATTATCGTCGAATCATAAATTTAATAAAAGAAACAGTTTTGAAAAACAGTCAGTTACAAAGTCATCCGATTATTCACACAAGATTAAGAAAATATTTGACTTAAAGACAGGAAAATAATTTAATAATTAACCCTCGAAAGCCACACCACAATCTCAGGGACTATTATTTATATTTTCTAGTGCGTATTTTTGGGTAATAATTTTTTTAAAATAAATTTTGAGATTACCATCATAATTCTCAAAATATTTCTCAAAAAATTTATGATTGATTGAAAAAAAAAAACATTACAATACGTTGATTTTTCTGAAACTGAGCAAAAAATGACTGGATTCCTCTAGACCCCAGTGTAGCTTACACGTATGCAAAAATAGTGTGACCTGCGAAGGTTAATGTAATTTTTGTATAAATATATTATAAAGTTATAATAAACAGCTTTATCATTTTAATTTTTTATTTTTCTCTTGTCCACTTTTAGTTCTGATATAAATTATTAATTGTTATTCCAAAAAAAGTATATATAAATTAGTTGATTGACTTAATTAATTGACTTAATTAATAAAAATAAACAAAAAAATCTTAATCATGTATAAGAAGCAAGATACTGTCATCCATAAACTAGATCGTTCGTTTTAATTTCATATATATCGCAGTCTATATATAGATAGCCTCGTCTTCTTTGGCTTCTTTATCATCGGTCCACCCGATAAATATTCTAGGGCGGGACAAAGAGGGAGAAATGAACTTGTTCGGAATCTTTATTACACGGATATATATAATTGCAATACAATTCAGATACGCGCGCGCGAGAACGATTACCCCCCAAAATTTCCTTTATCTTAACGTAGCCGTTGAAAACGGTTACGGCAAAACGGTCCTCGTCCGAAAATCTATGTAAACCAATCGTTAGTCATCACATTAGAAGCTGTTATTCTCACACGTAAACATAAATACATAAATTATAAATGGTACATTCATAAGAACGAAATAATATTGACCGATTGTTCATACGTTCAAGCCGCGCCAGCGGCGTTCAATCAGCATCGAAATAAACATCTTCCGTCAGCTCCAGATTATTCGCTTACAATTAAATTCTAAACATGTATTCTTAGCGAAACGACGCCGGACTCGGCGAATGTGTTGTTCCTGATTAATCATACTTATCAAGTTTTTCTCAGAAAGGAAAGGAATAACATGCGCATCGCGTGTTTCTTATCCATAATCGCGGAAAATGAGAGCTGGCACGTCCGTATATTAAACGTCGCCAAACATGGTGCTGCATGCAGAGCATCTCGCGTTTGCGATAAATAAGATCACTCTCGTTGAACTGGTCCACATACTATGCATTTAGAGACTGGACACTTGTCTCGGCGCTAGTCCGGGGCCCGATTGGAAAAGTGGCCGATTGTCCCATTAATTGATGTCTCTCTGTGTCGCGGCACGTCGCGAACGGTTTCATTTCACGCCACCGCCGCCGGCAACATCATCGCGCGCAAATAATCTCGGTGTTGATAAAGGTAGAAGACACGTACATATACCCTCACCGTCGTCACGTCGTCTGTCTTTGTTTTCCCTACCGAACCATTCGCGTAACCGACGCGAAGATTAACAGCTGTCGCGGATAAATTATTCAAGATCGACCGCCAGCAAATCCAATTCTTATCACGTTTCTCATTACATTTTACAATTTATTAATAACTGACTAACTACAAATATATCATCTTTCAATCTTGTGTCGATAAATTGATATTAATAAGGTTTTGCATCACAAGTGAGTAATAAATTGAATTGTAAATTGTAGATACATAATTATATTACAATATGTATATGAATAATTTAGTATTTTTGGATTTTTTACGCCTGCAATTCAGGACACTGTATCAATGCAAATTGTTTTTTTTCTTGCATTATTGTGACCGCGCGGATAGTTACCGTATAATCTGTCAATTAACTGTTGCGTGCGTTCATCAACCGTAAAGCGCGATCTGAATAGCTACTTAAGTACCATTTTAAGAGAAAATTATTTTGCATTGTCGTCACCGCACTTGAACTGCAATCAGCGAAACATCATCAAACTATAAAGTGACATTTGCTGTCATCGGCCGTTGTTTTTTGTTTCTGTTAAATATTTCTTTCTATCCCCAGGAATTGGCGCTCTCACCGACTTCTAAGAGTTTCCAGGTATGGAAGGACACCAGCAACATATCACCAATATTTATGAAAATATATTTATTTAACTGGACTAATCCGGAGGAATTAAGGCTAAAGAAACCGCAATTCACTCAAGTTGGGCCTTACTACTTTAAGTAAGTAACCTTCACTCGAATGAACGATTTTGATTATAGCTCACAATTTCCAAAATCGCGGTCACAAAAAAAAGAGCGCATTTCCTTATACATCGACAAGGCCAAACTTAATTTCTTAAGCAAGACTCCACTGTTAACTTTCACTTTTATGTGTTAATTCGTTCAAAAGAAGATCAATATATTTAGATATCATTTATGAATATTATATGAGCCGATGACCGCGGAAATATAAAGTTACGAGATCGTGCGATCGACGCGCATGCCACTCCAGATAAGATGAAATTACAATAGTGTATAGTAATTAATATCGTCCTGTTAATGCGTCTTAATCAGATTCACTTTGGTTATAAACACAGCGTTGTAAAATTAATATTTTATAAATTACATATCTTCCAGCTGAAAAAGCAGCAAGTGAAAAACAAATGATTGTTAAACAAACATCTGAATTTTCAACAGAATTGATTGATCTTAAAACGAAATAACTATTTTTCAAAATATTTATTATGTAAATCATAATTGTATTCAAAAAATTACACAATAATTACGTAATTTGTGATCTTGACAACTTTGCATGCAAAATTACAAGCTGCAATTACTGTTGAAATCGAAATGACATTCACATAAAAATGCAATCAGTAAAGTTAGAATTGATTAAAAAAACACTCTAATTATCATAATTGGTATGTTTTAATCAGTGTTATTAACAGTAAAAAAATGATCCGCAAGTAAAAAAAAATGCATCGAAATGTGACGTACTTCGCATGTATTAAAAATTAGATTATTCTAATCAGACTACAAAATTATAATGCAATAACGAATCCAATAATGACAATGAGGAAGAAATAGTTAACCTCGTTATACTGACATCTTAATGAACAAAAAAATACCGGTCCAATCATGCGACGCGACGCGTAGGCGAACTTGTATGAAGTAATTGACTAATTAATTACTTTCTTCTTGACCGTGATAATACGTGCCTTGGATGCGACTCTTCGATAAGTGCCGCTTCGCTTGTATCATGACCTTCGTTCGACTGGTTTACCTCAATATATTTTCACGCTAAAACCGGTAAACGCGCGAAACGCCAACATGCGTGGAAATGATCCGAGATATCCGTATTATCAGCAATTTGCATTTTGCAAGATTATACTTCACGAGCCATTTATTGTAAAAAAATGAAAAAAAAAACTGAGTATTAAAAGATAATGTGACTGCGATAATTCCTGTGAACTGTTTCTTCAATAACAGCAATAAATTAAAACAGATACTGTAATAAAAAAGTGGCAATCACAACAATTGGATCGAATTTTAAACATATAATTAAAACTCCAAATTTGTGCAATTTTCGTCGATCAATAAAGAGAAGTATGTGTGGTCAGCGAAATATAAAACCATGTACGTAATCTTTTGGAACAACGGTCGTCAATTAAATTCCACCAATTTTTTTTTGAAAGCGTATAACATTAAAAAAAGAACAGAATAAAACAGAATTCTCCTCTTTCAAATTCTTGTCCTAGAATCCGGCTTCCGTCCCTAATCTTGTATCGGTAATATAAAGATTGCACCTTTGACAATAAGAGAGCATTAGGTATGGTCATCATCATTACATGCGTACGTCCTGTTGCGTGGCAATTGCCCTGTTAATATTAATAAGCAAAATATGTAGGTCAGATGTCTAAGCCGCGGTTGAACAAACGACTTCAGAATTCGCGACACGTACCGACCAATGAAATATGTATCAATTAAAGTGATGCAGAAAATGCATATATTGTTCAACTTACATATGGAGGAGTAAAAGCCATAGTGGTGTAAGTCAAATTTTTTTTAAGATATTGACTCGTGTGCATAGATGCAATCCATACAATATATAAATTGCATCTATGCACACGAGTCAATATTTTAAATAAATTTCACTTATACCACTATAGCTTTTACCCCTCCATATAAAGAAGATTACTGGACGCTTACACTCAATTTGTTATTCATTAACATTATCTTCTAATTCATTTACGAACAATGCTCGGCAACTAGAAAAGAGATTTAGACTGCGCAAGAGTAAATAAAGACGGAAGAAATCGTTAATGCAATTATGAATTGCAGGGAAGTAAGGCAAAAGGACTACATCAAGTTTAATCATGAGAACAACACTGTCAGCTATAGGCAACGACGATTATGGTATTTCGATGAGAAGCAGAGCAATGGGAGTCTTAGCGACATCATTACCAATTTGGACGTCGTCATTGCGGTAAGCTGCTTTATTGCATCTTTTGTCGCGTGCTTAGTACAATAAATTGAATTCTTGATCTCAATTGTAGAAGCGATAAAAGAGATGAAAAAATAATCACGTATATCAGAGGGCATCAAGTATATGGTAATAAAGGAACAACTGTAAAGATGTATCCAAATGTTTCTTGCTTTTTTAAATTCCGTCTTGATTTAAAAATGGAAACACGATTGATTCAGGAAGATATAAAAATACTCGATATTATACATATATTATTTTCTTTTTGCAGTCAGGAGTGTACACAATTCGATACTGGGATCTCGAGTGGCAGAAATCACTGTCCTTCCTCTTGAGCAGTACCAGCCGACGGTATTACACTAGTAAAACAGTAGGTGAACTGCTGTTTACAGGCTACAGCGACAGCCTGCTCACCATGAGCAAAGTTATGCCGGTGAATGATGCTCCGCCTTTCGATCGTTTCGGCTGGTTTTACATGGTACGTTTTATAATAAGACAGAGTATCCTTTTTCTTCTCCTTAGCGATTTATTTTTAACCGTCAGAAAAGTAAAAAAAATAATATTACTGAATAATACATCATTCTACTTCTCTAAATATTTGAACACCAGAAACATCTCCCACTTTTGTGACCTTATAATAAATCGATCATGTTTTTTATAAGCGGTTTAAAATGCTGATATTAAAAGTAACATTTGGCATTGGGGATCGCTACGAGCGATGCAAAAGCTATTAATATCAAAATAGTGCGCGGAGAATTTGAGCTGCATGGTACTAGGCAATGGCGTTACAGTCGACGATAGAGTACTTGTAACATAACCAGGTTTAAATTGGTAATGAATGGAAGAGATCACATATAGGTCGCGCCGCGTAGCGAATAAAACGCACGAAGATACACTATATATATTATACCGATGTTACTGCTCTGCAAAAATTATAGATTAATACGAAAGGGCGTATCTCTAAACACTTTAAAAGTGGAGTAGCTACGATTACATTGTTGAAACAACTGGCTCTCGTAGAGATAATGATAACACGCATCGCTCACATGGGAAATAAATTAAATCGTTGCTTTATATCGATGCTAATAAAAAATATTAAAGAAAAACAGACAAAAACATAACTTTTCGTTGACAAGAATTAAGTTATCAATCCGCGATACAATACATAAACATGTTCTGATATAATTATTAAAAAGTTAAAATCGCTAGAAAATAATCGAAAAGAAGTGTACTATAATTTATTGTCATTTTGATTATGTAGAGGAACGGCAGCTACGACATGGACGGGCACTTAAATGTGGAAACGGGTGAGAATGACATCAGCCAGTTGGGAATCTTGAGAAAGTGGAACTATAGAGATACGTTGAAATTCTACAAGAGTCCTTGTAACGTTATTGAAGGCAGCGCGGGAGAATTTTGGCCACCCGGCAGAACGAAAGATGAGATTACTTTGTTCAGCGTAGACGTATGCCGGTTAGTCCAAAAATACTATCAAGTTTACAGAATAGAATAAATTATTATGCGCTTTCGTCTATTTACGCGCTCACGAATAACGAATCAAACGGTATTCAACGAGAGATCGAGATTTTACTTTTAGATAGCAATCCAGTTCTACTTTCATCGCCGTATAAATAATATCATAATCAGATTTTAGATAGCATCTTGTTTTTTCTAATAAACAGAATTACAGAATTTCACGAGACACATCACATATCAGTTGTTTAATTATCTTCAAATTGCCACGGCGCCGCGGCGCCAGAAACGACATAAAAATAATCCATTTAGTGCCACATACATATCATCAACTTCCTGTTATAATATTATTCCAATAATTTTTCCAAGCAGTGGTACAAAGTTTATCATATACTGAACTCTTGATCTTATTTCCGGTTCTTTTTTTTAATATTATTTTAGTCCATTAATCTACGAATACGAGGGAACGGTTTCTCATTTCGGCATCGAGGGTTATCGATATATCATCGATAAGAAGACTCTCGGTAACAACACGAGACGACGTTATCCTCACGAGCAGGCGAAATTTTTCGAGCCGACCACCACAACCGAGGACTTCTTCGCAGCCGAGCATTTGTCTGAGATGGGATTCAGCACGACCACCGAAAACGTGGCTTCCGACAACGGTCGCTCGTCCGAAAAGAGCTCGGACGAATACTCGGACGACGATCCGGATGTCATTAACTTGGGTCATTGCTTCTGCGGTGGCGAGTGCACGCCGTTGGGTCTAATAAACGTGTCCATGTGCCGTTTCGGTGCGCCGGTCTTCGTAAGTCTACCTCATTTCAACAAGGCTGATCCTGTGCTTCTCGACCAAGTCGAGGGACTGCAGCCCAACGAGAAGGATCACAGCTTCTCCATCACCCTCGAACCCGTGAGTGCCGATCTAGCAAAATCGTTTCTGGAGCGCGAACGAATAAAATTCGCCGCGATAGAAATAACGGCGCGGGTCAGTCAACCCGGCCCGTGCGTTACTGCCGAGATACTAATTTTACTATCGCCTTTCATCCGGCCTATCGAGCGCGGAGGATGTGGCACTGCCCGCGATAATACGCGCTATTGAGAAAGCAATCGCGTTGCGTTTATTCGCGTAGCTTCGTGTTGCACATTATAGCGCTTAGGCACTTGACAAATATAGGTGTTGTCGTACAAAGTACGCTTGATATTTCAGATGACGGGAATTCCTCTAGACGTATCGGCTAGATTCCAAATTAATGTTCTTATGCAGCCATCGGAGACTGTGTCGTAAGTACATGAAAGATTTCAAAAACTTGTTAAACTATAAAAAAAGAAAATACGTATAGCTATATACATATCTTCACAATGATCTTATCTACAATTGATTGCATAGCTAAAAAAAAAAAACATGTTTGCGCAGGGTGTTTAACGATGTGCCTAAGATCTACATGCCGATATTTTGGTTCGAGCTAAAGGTACAAGTTAACGAGGAGATGGCATCAAATTTAAGCCTGTTACTAGCATTTCCAATCGTGATGCTAAGTATAGGCATAATTATGATAACTATCGGATTATGCTTAATCGGTATCGTAACGTTCCTTTATTTCAAGAAGAAACGACATGTACCTCCAGCGGTACGTATACGATTAATAAAACTCTTCGAATTCTTTTCGCGGCTATAAAAGAGAAATATTTTTGTCGCAACTGCCTGAAACTGACACGCGCACAATTTTACAGGATACCGCGTCGGAAAAAGCAGTAGACGAATCGCCTGACAAGAAGACGGAAATGGTGTACATGGATAAGACGAGTACCAATGAAGACCCCAACGTCAGAGGCGATCGCCGTTTGTACGCGAAACTCTACTGAATGTCTCTCTACAGACAGAACTTCGTCTCTGGAATAAATGGTGTGAAGAAGTGTGCACACACAATTGTGGAGCAATTTTGAAACATAAAAAGATTGCGAAGACGTTAGTAAAGTAAATTTTTGTGCGTCTCAGTTTTACTGTAACGGGTGGGCGCACTAAAATTTCTAAAATATATGTATCTTAGTGAAATATGCACGTCGACAGAATGTTTTATGTGTGCATGGTCGTATGTATAGATTCACGTGAAATTTTTCTATATGCACACATATGTTAATGTATGATCTGCAAAAATCTAAATAACTGCAAAAAAACGCAAAAAAAAAACAAAAAATAAAAACAAGGTTATTTACGATAATATCAAATATTATCGTGCATGTACATACGGATTAGCATATCGTAAACGGTATTTTCTCATGTAAATGCATTTACGCAAAAAAATTATAACTTCAATCAATGTGTTAATATGTTCAATCAACATTAATAGGAATCGGTAATAATAGATTCCTAATAAATGTACAAATGATATGTAATTTTTTTTATTCGTTTAATTGAGATGTAAATCTTTCAGACATATGTGTATATATGTCTTTAATATTTTGAGTGAAACGTCTTAAAGCAAATATGAATAGAATAATTCTTCGAACAAAAAGAGATCTCAAAGAGTACAGAAAGTGAAAGTGATGTAAATTTGACGTCATATTGACCAATTTATGTCATTTTTTGGTCAATATGACGTCAAATTGACATCGTTTTGACTTTTCTGATCTACTTGAGATATTACGCATCGTATAAGTCGCGTATATTTCTTCGCAAAAAGGAAAAACTGAATATTTTTTTTTTTTTTAGATCTTATTCGCATTGCGAATAATAGACCACTCATCGTGATTGTTACATTCCTACGTAATAGATTGAATGATATTATCGTGTTTATAAAATATCAGTTTGGCATGTTAAGACTGACGAAATCGCGCGCGCGCCAATTGTGTAGTGAAGTTTTTAGTTATTTTCTTCTCTCGATTCAATAGACTATTTCTAAACACATACAATTAAAAGACGAAATTGCAAATCAGATTGCAAATTTTGGTTTAATTCGGCTGTTCTGCTAATTTATTGCAATATTGAGAAGCCGAAATTGCCTCGATCACGTACTGTAAATAAGTTATTCTGTAGACAATTATAAACTGTTGTATACTATCTGTGCCAAAATATACCATTAACGCCGTGATTGAATGCAAACAAACGGAAAGATGAAAGAAAAGGTACAAACAGATTTACAATGTTAAGCATGCGGTATTGCGATAAATCTGAATTTATGCTTTGCTCGAACATAGTAAAATGTGAATTGTATCTCTATTAAATTTAGATTTTTAGATATTAATATTTAAGGCGCACGATCTACACAATATATACAACGAATTACGTCAATATTTAAGTATATAGATGTACAAAAAAAAAATATATATATATATATAATACATAATATATATATATATATTATTGTAGATGTAATGTGCATAATACGCTATTCTTGTACCGCAGAATATCGGTGATGTGTTTTGATATAATTGTTATCGTGCGGATTCGCTATTCTATTTAGATAGGTATTTTAGACGTTGTGGTGCAACGCAACCCAGACAGCACGCATGTCCAAAAGCTTTGAGACGTCTTATGTCCCGATTTTGGACATGGTGCTGTCTGGGAATTTTTCGAGATAATGTTATTCGAGATTACGGCTTCCTCATATGAAGCACAGATATAGTGGAATGAATGTAAATGTAGTCTCGTCTGTAAAATTAGTAGAATCCACCGAATATGTTATATATTGTTAGCAATTTTTATAACTGTTACCATTGCGCAACATAAACCGCAGTCCAAAATTACGTATGTTATTATAATTGTTCTTCCTGCGATGCAAAATAAGTTATATGACAAAATTTGTGATATACTCGAAGTTACCTTATTTTGTATTTGTACAAACAAAAACAGCCGTTTATAAGTGCCAATTATGTTTAGGCTAAGCATTATATGTATCCAACCTAAGACTCGACACATTCGATGTTCTCAATATTAATGTAACTTTAAACAAATGCAGTCATGTGGAATGTGAAAGTATATTGTATATATGTTTCATGTCCAAATATATCGGCCGTGTTTCACACACTAGGCAATTTTATATTGTATTTTAATAAAAGGTCTATACTATTTTTAATATTTGTTAAATGATCGACTTCGTTTCATCGATCAACTTCGATTCATTGTGTTTTATACAGTGAAAGTAGATACACTGTTAAATATTAAATGATGAAATTTAAAACAATACTTGGAATTAAATAACATTTTGTTATTTTTAACTATCATGTGTGTGTCGAAATTTATTATTTTAACACAAAACAGTATTATTTTAACTCTCGGTTTAATTAAATCAACATTGTTTTAGTTAAATTAATTATAGTAGGAGAGACCGGAGCGGGAGTCATCACTATTATATATACAATCAGAAGAGAAGGATGAGAGCCGGGGCTCGAAATCGCAGCACTGCATATCGTCAGTACTTACAGTGAATATCGAAACACAGCCATGATGTCCACGTGACCAACGGTTGAACGGAGTTTACTGAGGTTATGTGCCATGTTGTGATTTTCATTAAGGCTATTCTACAAGGTAAACGTGTTTTCCTAACGGAGGTTAAAAGTGATATTTTTTTCTCTCGAATATTATTATTTATTATTTTCTCTCCAAATCTCGAGGTAAGTGATTCTAAAGAGGAACGCATGCTGAACACGAATCCAGTGAGGTTTTTTTCATTTTCGTTGATTTCTAATATTTCATGAGCGACCAAACTTGAAATCTGTGTCCGGCGCAAAGTCGTCACCAAGTCACCGGGGCAGACTCGTCGCTGTGACCACTTTACCCCGGTGGTTTCACTCTATTTTCCGTTGCAAATGCGTTGTTTTCTTTTCAATTGCAGGAAAATGGTACGCACATACCGTCGCAAAACGACTCCCGTCGACAAAGAGCAACTCAAGAAGGCTATTGTAGCGGTGAAAAAAGATAATTGTAAGATTATAGTAGCCGCAAAACAATTCGGAATCGCGAGATCTACCTTGGCCGACTGGCTGAAGAAGAATAATGGTGCAATAGCACACTTCGATGACGTGGCCGTATCACATCATGGAGGCTTATCGGTAAATAATGTAAATTAATTTTTAAACGCATGCACTCTGCTCCGCGAAATTCATATTTATGCAACGTCTTAATTTCAAATGCAGATTATGGACTCTAAAAGTGAAAGCACTTTGGTGGAATACTTAGCGTATTGCAACGAGATGCACTTTGGGCTATCTACGAAGGAAATCCGCGGTTTAGCCTTTGATTTCGCTAAAAAATTAAATCTGAAGGTACCAGCATCGTGGGAAGCCGCTCGCATGGCCGGTGAAGATTGGTTAACTAACTTTCTCAAACGACATCGAACATTATCTATACGTAAACCGGAAGCGACGAGTTTAGCACGTGACACCAGTTTCAGTCGGACAAATCAAGAAAGGTTCTTTGCGCTGCTAAAATCTGTGCTGGATAAATATCGTTTCCCAATTCACTGCATATGGAATATGGATGAGACGGGAATAACAACCGTTCAGACACCGAACAGAATCATCGGCCGAGTGAAACAAATCGAGCGAATGACTTCTGCGGAACGAGGGAACCTCGTAACTTTGACGATGGCGGTGTCAGCGATTGGGCAATTTCTACCTCCTTTTTTTATTTTTCCTCGTAAACATTTCAAGGAATATTTCCTTAACGGCGGACCACCAGGCTGCACAGGTGAAGCGAATCCAAGTGGCTGGATGAACGCGGAGCATTTTGTCAAATTCTTACAGTTTTTCCAGTCCCATGTGCGTGCCTCCGTCGACGCTCCAGTTTTACTGATACTCGACAATTACGTATCACATTTGTCCATCGCTGGTCTCGACTATTGTAAAGCGAATGGAATCATTGTCCTGTCATCACCACCGCATTGTTCGCATAAGCTGCAACCGCTGAAACGCACCGTCTACGACCCGTTAAAGAAATGTGTAAACGCCCAGTGCGATAACTGGATGACGTCGAATCCTGGTAGGACAATGACGATGTACGACATCCCCGGAATCGTGGCTAAGGCACTACCACTTGCCGTAACGTATCAAAATATTGTGTCCGGGTTTGAATGCACTGGAATTTCTCCATTCAACCCGGACATTTTCCAGGAATACGAATTTTTGACGAACAGCGTTACGGATAGGGAGTACCCTTTTACTTTCGTTGATCCCGAAAAGGTCCTCAACGCAGCCGACCCGGACGCAGCCGATCAGAACGAAGACATCGATCCCACGGCTTTATCCATGACTCATTATGATGATACATTGTTGGAGAACTTGAGCGCAACGACGCTTGAAAGTATTCCTGAAGCCGGTCCGAGACAGCCGACTCATGAAAAACGAAGAACGAGCGTCGTCCTTACTGACTCGCCTCAAATGAGGGAATTGGCGACTGAGCAGGCGGAGTCGAGGCAAAAAGAAAATGAGAAACCTGCTACGAGGAAGAGAGGCCGGCCCCCAAAAAATGCAGTGCAATCAGAACCGCAGCCTTCGACGAGCGGTGAGCAAGAATCAGAAGAATCGAAGTCAGAGAAATGGTCGGATTGCGACGAGGACTTGGATAATATATGCTGCGTGTGCTCAGAGACGACAGAAAACAGAGATGACGAGAAACAATGCATTTCGTGTAAGCGTAGGGCACACAACAAGTGCGTGCGCTCATCAGACTCTGCTTTTACGTGCATCAACTGTCAACTGTTTAAGTGATACTGATGACGAAGAAGGCAATTGATTTTCTTGTAATTATTTTTCGCCGTCGTATTTTTAATTATTTAAGAAATGTTTCTATTTTTCTATTAAAAAATAATAAATTAAATGTAGTCTATCATTGTTCATAATCAAAATTATGTATTTTTATTTAAAATCCAGCCCGAGAATGGAATGACGACTCCGTCCCGGCAATTTTGACATTTAATTTTTGCTTTTCTATAGCCAAGAGTTCAAAGCTCTTTACAACGATACACCACATTTCACTAAAGTTATTTATTTTGTCGTTAAAAATCGGCACTGAAAAAAATGACGACTTCGCCCTCTCCTACATATTGAGTAGGAGCAATGGTAACCTACAGGAATGGTTAAAACAGACTAAAAATTGAGTATAATTTCGTACTACAAATTTAACAGTGTAAATTAAAAAAACACGGTTGGTATTTGTTATCACGTAAACTCAGCAACTTTCTTAAACTTATTTAAGTCTCTTCCTTTTATATTTTCATCATCAACGCGCGCTCGTCAGTGATCGTGCTCTCGATTTCCTAAATGTTTTATCATTCTTAGGTAACGGTTGGATTCACATCTAGAGACTCTCTGTCCACGTCGGCCACGATCATCAACTGTTAACGTAAATTGCTGCATTACAGACGTACGATAGCGTATTTTTATTAGAGTTTTGGACATTTTTAATTGCGGAACCCACATTTATCATCAACAATTAAATATGCATAAATAAAAAACTGTATCGGAGTATTACATGTATAAAATTTATCAAAGATACGAGATTTGTTTGTCATGCACTTGTACGCCATTACGCGTAACGTCATTAAACTCTTGCGACAATTAGTTGCATAATCCCGATCGACCTGGTGGATCTGCCGCATCGCATCGTGCGCAAGTAATAAGATTACGTTAATTGTCATCGCGTAAATTTAGGAATTTATGAAAGAAAAACTTAAATGTGTCGAGAACAAGTCCGGAAGTAAAACGTCGAGTTGATAAAAAACTTGTGGGGCATTATCTCATATGCCTACTATCGATCATCGCGAATCTCGTGACTGCGAATGAATTATTTAAGAAATCGCATCTCTAAAGAGAAGTTGCTGAGTTTATTTATGCGCGGTGACACGCACATCGGAGCGACTGCCGAAATGTACAACACAATATAAATTATAGTTTATGATTGTTAAAATAATCTTTACTTGGCGCATATAACCTCTAATTTCTCCTCTTTTTTTCAGTACTTTTCAATACTTTGTTAATTATACGCTTGCAAATAATATTATCACATATTTAAATCCCGAATACAAAACTAGAATAAGACAGAACGTTTAAGGCTGAGCTTTAAATGGCCGGTGCACGAGTACTACAACGTATTCACATGTTTCTATAAAAATTTTTAAAAATTATCAATAATCCACGAATTAATTAACAGTAACCGTGCTGTTCTTAAAAGCTTTTTTAATCATTTCACTTACCAACACATTTGTTATTTAATTCAATACAATTCTCATTCTCTTTAAATATAATTATATTTAATATCCCAAACTATTGACGAATCTTATTAGCAAAATTCAATAATCAAGATTTTATGTTGCTGTTATTATACAATCTCTCGATAAATAAATTATACAAAATCGCTTATGCCTATCGCTTTATTAAGAGAGAGAAACGGCGAGAGGCGTGGGAGTTTTATTCTTCGCAGAAGACTAATTATCGATTTACCTCCCTCGCCTTTGTCCCCTTTTTAAAATAACTCGTTCGTATTGTAAGGTATATACAGCAAGATTGTTTGTAAAGACCCAGGCCGAGTTTTAACAGAGTGATTAATTTAGATTTTTTTCTAGATACACAGGTAGTCGCTGTGCATCTTGTTTACGTTCCTGAGACGAAATTCAAGCAAGTGCTAAATAAGTACGGACATATAGACTCGCGTTATAAACGTTCCTACTTGCTTTCCACGCGTAAAAACGCGTGTGACGAAGGACAATAGAGAAACATCTTTCGTCAATATTCAATTCCCGATGCGTGACAAAATGCGCACACGTGCGTGAAACAAAGCGGAATGAAGGAGAGGCAGTGACGGCAGTGAACACGTATGCGGCACGACGCGCGGAGATCGCAATACTCGCGGCGTGCAGATTATATTCTCTTCTCTTTTCTCTTTTTTCTTCATCTCGCGAGGCAGCTAAGCCGGCTTACCGCGCGCGCGAATTGCACGCGCGTATAACCCGGGCGAGCTGAAATCGTGTATTTAAAGCGATGCATACGCAATTGTTGACTTTGAATGTTGAATACGCAAACGAGCCGCCAAGCGAGCACACCGCTGTCAA